GTATCATCTTTCTGTCGCTGTCTATCTTCGACTTTGGATAAATATCAGATTTTGCCTAGTTTTGAGCCTGCTTTTGTACCCATTTTTTGACCACTTTTTGGCTTGTAATGATAAAAGTAAGATAGTTATTCGAAATATCGCTCTTTGATGTTCTAGAGAGCCTTTTTGTGTAACCCTTTTAGGTAATGCCAGACCTCAGTGGTGTCCCCCCTTTTCAAAACGTTTGCTCCAATGATGTCAATTTTAGGCCAAATTTTGCTGATTTTTCGAAATTTCTGCTTATATTTTTTTTCAGAAGTCCTTTATCGAAAAAATCGCGATTTGAGTGTTTAGAGAAGATCCTTGTCGATGTATAGAAACTTGCATTTTCATCCAACGACCAATAGTTTTTTCAAAACGTTTGCTCCAATGAGGTACACTTTGGGGAAATTTTGCTGATTTTTCGAGATTTCTGCCTATATTTTTTTTCAGAAGTCCTTTATGGAAAAAAATCGCGATTTGACGGTTCAGAGAACAGCCTTGTCGATGTGTAGAAACTTGCATTTTCATTCAACGACCAATAGTTTTTTCAAAACGTTTGCTTCAATGAGGTACCTTTGGGGAAATTTTGCTGATTTTTGCATATTTCTGTCTAGTTCTCAGACGAGTTTGAAAAGATGCATTTTAGAGGAAAATTAGATTGGAAAATGGTGTGTTCAAAGAATTAGACGTTTAAAAAAGTTTCGGTGTTCTCTGATTCATCAATATCTTCATCGATTTGGCTTGTGTCAACCTCCTTCATCTTTTTCTGCCGTTGGCAAAGTTCTGGAAGACGAGGGTTTATCCATAAAAAATTTGACGCTCAGATTTTAATGAAACTTTGTTAAGTTGAAAATTTAACTGAAACAGCAGCTAAATGATTAAAACGAGACGGGTATTTCAGTCTTATTTCATTAACTCGCAAAACATAGAGATAGTGGATGGCTGCTCGAATAGAATGCAATTTTCTTATAGATGTACTATGTTGACGTCCATTTTTCAAAAATATTTTAGTCGTTGATGTATATGCCGGTTACTAAATCTAATCATGCTGCTTGTCTACAATTAAAGATAATTATTTCCTCGACAAACGGCAGTAACAAAGATGCAGACAGAAATATGCAAAAATCATCAAATTTTCCACAAAGTGTACCTCATTGGAGCAAACGTTTTGAAAAAACTATTGGTCGTTGGATGAAAATGCAAGTTTCTACACATCGACAAGGCTGTTCTCTAAACCGTCAAATCGCGATTTTTTCCATAAAGGACTTCTGAAAAAAATATAGGCAGAAATTTCGAAAAATCAGCAAAATTTCCCCAAAGTGTACCTCATTGGAGCAAACGTTTTGAAAAAACTATTGGTCGTTGGATGAAAATGCAAGTTTCTATACATCGACAAGGATCTTCTCTAAACACTCAAATCGCGATTTTTTCGAAAAAGGACTTCTGAAAAAAAATATAAGCAGAAATTTCGAAAAATCAGCAAAATTTGGCCTAAAATTGACGTCATTGGAGCAAACGTTTTGAAAAGGGGGGGGACACCACTGAGGTCTGGCATTACCTAAAAGGGTTACACAAAAAGGCTCTCTAGAACATCAAAGAGCGATATTTCGAATAACTATCTTACTTTTATCATTACAAGCCAAAAAGTGGTCAAAAAATGGGTACAAAAGCAGGCTCAAAACTAGGCAAAATCTGATATTTATCCAAAGTCGAAGATAGACAGCGACAGAAAGATGATACTTGGTATATCGGATCTACGTTAAAATAATATTCTGTGTATGAATTTTTAGAGCCCTGAGGCAATCATTGCAAAATTTGGTCTTTCTTCGTATAAGATGTCCCCTACGAATTACAAATCGCGGGCGCAGCTCGGGATCCCATCTCAACTGCGGCTTGGACCGAACGTGTGGCCAGAAGACCAGCGGTTCGACACGAAAAGACGAAAGATTTCATGTTATTGGCATTCTGTCTTCGGCCGTATTTTGAAGTCGTTTCGGCTGCGATTTGATGATACTGGATTGTACTGTGAGAAAAGAAAAAACACATTGGAAAATGATACTATATACTCTTTTACTATACAATCACATGCGTTTTTTGTATTTGGATCTCGGGACTCTGCTTTGAGGTCCATGTCCTGTTGGAGCTGGTGGAGGAGGTGGAGGTGGTGGTGGAGGAGGTGGTGGAGGCGGCGCAGCGCCAGGGCGGGGCACTCTGAACATGAGCTCCAGCTTGTGAGCGATTTCGGCCATACTGTAGCGATCATTCGGGCTTTCGGCCCAGGTCCTCTTCGTTATGAGCTCGGCCAGATCGGGTGGGGTGTCGGCGGGCATGAACATACGGTAACCCTCCTTAACCTAAAGAAAAAAGAGTAACATACCAGAAGAAAGGTTGAAAATGAAAAATCGGTAATTATTTTTCATCAAAACCCAAACACAAGGCTAAACCTTACAAAGCTAGCGTAAAATGGCGATAAATTACTTCAAAATGCATTAAAAATGGTAAAAACTTACTTTCTGGAAGGTTTCGGCTGGACTCAGACCTGGATAGGGTTCTTGGCCATTGGAGAAGATCTCCCAACACAAGATTCCAAAGGCCCAGACATCAGTTTTCTGGGTGTAAATGAAGGTCTGAAGGGTCTCTGGAGCCAGCCTTAAAGTTGTATGTTAATTTTAAAAGCACTCTAAAACTCTTTACGCCTTCTATTTTCATCAAACATCATCTACAAACATATTTCCCCATAATTTTCCTATATTATATTTACTGTGTAGAGACTTACCATCTAATCGGTACTCTTCGATGTGGATCCATTTGATATACCGTCCCCTCTACACTGAGGCCAAAATCGCTAATCTTGACTTGACCATCTCCGTACAAACAATTTCTAGCGGCAATATCACGATGAATCACGTTCTTGACATGCAGATATTCGATGCCAAATGAGGCCTGAACACACATGATCGCCTTCCGGGCCGGGGGTTGTTCCCCTTTCTGGAGATACGAGTCCAATGCTCCGCAGTCGACCAGCTCCATCAGCACCATCAGCGGTTCTTGGCCTGCGGCGACTCCGTAGAACTTGACGATATTTATATGATCAAAGTTCCGCATGAGTCGAGCCTAAAATTCGATGACGTTAGAGGTCACAAAAAGTAATGAAAATTCAAGTCTTTTTCTACTCGGAGACCCCAATTCACGTCAAAATCTTTTCATTTCTTACCTCTTGCATGATCTCCTTGATCTGCTCCTTGGTCAGGTTGTCCAATTTGGCCAATTTAACGGCCACATTGGCTATACCCCCTCCTTTCAGCTTCAGCGTGCCTTTACGGACCTCTCCAAAGGCGCCTTCTCCCAACTTCTTTGTTAAAGTAATGTCGCTATGGCTCAGTTCCCAGGCCTGCCGACCGATCGGAGTCCTCAAAATAACCTCCGGGATGCTCTTGGAGATGGACTCGACCCTGTGCACGTGATATTCGACCATTGCCTTGATGCTGTCAAAGCCATATTTCTCGATTGTCCAACGGTTGCTCGAGTTCTGGATGACGTAATGTTTGATCTGGAAGTCGAAGGGAGAGATAGGCAAAGATAGTGTCACAAATTGGCCTAGTTAATAGGGGGACTTACACCACTCTCCTCTTTGTCCTGGTAGACCATAACCGAGAGGATGTAGGAGCGGACTCCGTCTTTGGCATTGGGCTCAGAAGTTCGGATGAGAAAGTCGCCATTGTTGTGCAACATCATCCGAATGTCTTCTCGGGGCAAAAGGCCTAAAAATAAAAAATCGTTTGGGATTTACAGGGACGGAAATAACTGTCAAGGCGTTAGGAGACAAGCTACGGGCGAGACATCAAACTTTAGGCTTTAAAAACTGGAACTATCCGCGGTAATCAGCACGGATCACCCCGAAGGTCCCTAGAGTCGTTACATCTGTATCCTAGGTGGGACCTACCGTGATAGTACGGCTCATTCACGATTGATGGATCATAAGGACCACGTTGATGCGCCATGACAGAGCCTCCCGGAAAAACCGGTTGTGGTCCGACCATTTTCGACATGGCCAGAGCTATGGAATGGATTTGAAAAAAAGGAAGGAAGAAAACAAAAGCTCGGAATTTGCATAATTTTAGGACAAAATTTCAGACAAATTATCTATTCATATTTTTTTAATCAAGAATTCCGACATCCAAGTCAAAGAAATTATTCATTGGGAATGCTTCTATACGATCAGGATGATGGTGAATATCTCGAATACAAGACCGTGAATCTTCAAGACCATCTTAAAGGTTATTTTGAAGACTCTGGTCGGTTGACAGTCCCGGGAATTTAGTCATGGTGACATTACTTTACACAAAAAATTGGGTTGAAAATCCAAGAAACAGGTCAAGGAGAAGTGGAAAATATAACACAAAAAATCGCAAAATTTTGGTAAAATACGTCAACGGTTTTTTTGTGTTATTTTTAGAATAGGTTAGATTAAAGCTCATGATTTTTCAATTGTGTTTACTTTATTCCAGTATAACGTCAATTTTGAACACAAAAGTCTCGAATGATGACTATTTCTTAAAGTCAGCTTTTAATATATTCGGCAACAAATTTTCCAATATCATTATCTCCCCTTTACTGTACTCTCAACCGTATTGCACATTCAATATTACTCATCAAACAACAAAAGAATCAATGAAAATCCATGTAAAACGGGTACTTTGGCTGATATTCCGGCGGTGGCTCCGATGAATCCGTGGCCGTCGAAAATCGCTTCTCATTGACGCTGGAGTCGGCTACACAAAGTTGGGCGGCATCGTAGTCTGGAGGCGGCGCTGTGGGAAGAATTGGATATAATCCATTAGGATTTATCTCGACTTCATTACTGGACGACGGCCATTGTTAAAGAATTGCGCGTTTCTTGTCTAGCGGGCCCACAGACAAGAAATGCGGGTTTTCTGCGAGGAAGTCCGAAGAGAAGTAGAACGCACGCGCCTTATATACTATTTTGAAAGTCCTAATCTAACTTGCGCCAATTTTCGCCCAACTCTGAGTTTTGCCCTTTGAGCATTATTCCTGGGCATTTTTTGATGACCTTGTATCTATAATGAGGTAAACCACGCGATCAATTAGACTTCCATACCTTTAAAGAGTAGTTAACGTTGATAATGGGGCAATTGTTGAAAGACGGCACGACTGGTGGGATTGGGACGAGGTGTTTATAAGTGAAATTCCCTTTCATCGAATGCTCAAAGTCGTGTCGAGCATTTCCAATGATTGTTTCAGTCGACGTGACTTGGCTGACTCCGCCGACTTGCGACAAACTCAAGGGATTCCCTTTGTAATCTGAGATGGAAGTCCCGGTGTAATGGGCGTGCTGGATCAACTGAAATTTTAAAATTTTTCCAAATAAATAAACGCCCCTAAAACCATTAGAGCCCCCTACTTACCTGACATTCAATTGCATTGACCTTCTTTTCAGTTACATTCAGAATCTCCACATTCAGCTCGATCTTTTCTCCAGGCACATAGCCCCTTTTATTCGTCGCAACAATCGCCTTGACATGGCCGGTACGTCCTAATAAGGCCGTAAACGCCTTCTGAGCTTCGGCTTTTACCGGCTCAGTGCTCGAGGGAAAAAGTTTGAGATCAATGTAGGGCAATACTGTAAATCCTATCTGTTGTTTGCAATCCAGAAACCAAGGGCGATCGATGACCGCTTTCAGAGTGTACCTGATATGACCGTGGGTCCCTGAAAAATTTTTTGATTATATTTTTTTGAAATTCATTTAAAAAATTTTCAAGGGTTTATCATAGTAGATGACTTGAAATAATGTAAATTGCCATATTACCTTCAAAAGTCGGCGGGGCATTCAATGGAATCACAAAATTGAAAGGAAATATCGTCTCATTTAGCGGTAAATGTTTGTCGGAACTTTGGGGTTTCCAAAGACATAGCTCTTCGTTCGCGTACATAATCTCTCCATTACGGCGGACTTGCCTTTTCATTTGTCTGTGGCCCCTGAAATTGAAAATTTGTTATGGAAAACGATTGTAAACTGCTCTAAACAGTCTTCTAGTAGATGGCAACAGCCGTTACGGTGATTTTATGACGGTTTTTCAAAATTTCAAAAAATACGTCATCATGACGAATTCTTCCGAAAATGGTATCTATACTTTGAGAATTTTGTAACAGCATCTTCCTTGTCAGTACATTTCGTTTTCATTTTAAAACTCCTCAATAAATCTACCTTAAAATACCCATGATGACGGATTTTCTAGAATTCCCGAACTCACTCTCCAACAGTCTCCGTGGTTCCCCAACTAGCCTTGGCCGCTCCTTTGAAATGAATATGAACTCCATTTGATTTGACGGCGTCATCAAACTACGCCCACACTGGGCGAAACACTCTGATATTATACTAGACACCGGTTTTGAAAAAAGGTGAATTAGTGATGAAGGAGTGAATTGACAAGACATACACCATTCGAAAGGTAACCTCCTAAGATTTTAGCATGGCAAGTTTCAGCATTTTTGGAATCAAATTACGCCCACACTGGGCGAAACACTCTGATATTATACTAGCCACCGGTTTTGAAAAAAGGTGAATTAGTGATGACGGAGTTAATTGACAAGACATAGACCATTCGAAAGGTAACCTCCTAAGATTTTAGCATGGCAAGTTTCAGCATTTTTGGAATCAAACTACGCCCACACTGGGCGAAACACTCTGATATTATACTAGACACCGGTTTTGAAAAAAGGTGAATTAGTGATGAAGGAGTGAATTGACAAGACATACACCATTCGAAAGCTAATCGCCTAAGATTTTAGCATGGCAAGTTTCAGCTTTTTTGGAATCAAACTACGCCGACACTGGGCGAAAAACTCTGATATTATACTATACTAGGCACCGGTTTAAAAAAAAAAGTGAATTATTGATGACGGAGTGAATTGACAAGACATACATACACCATTCGAAAGCTAATCGCCTAAGATTTTAGCATGGCAAGTTTCAGCTTTTTTGGAATCAAACTACGCCGACACTGGGCGAAAAACTCTGATATTATACTATACTAGGCACCGGTTTAAAAAAAAAGTGAATTATTGATGACGGAGTGAATTGACAAGACATACACCATTCGAAAGCTAATCGCCTGAGATTTTAGCATGGCAAGTTTCAGCTTTTTTGGAATCAAACTACGCCGACACTGGGCGAAAAACTCTGATATTATACTAGACACCGGTTTTAAAAAAAGTGAATTAGTGATGAAGGAGTGAATTGACAAGACACACACCATTCGAAAGCTAATCGCCTGAGATTTTAGCATGGCAAGTTTCAGCTTTTTTGGAATCAAACTACGCCGACACTGGGCGAAAAACTCTGATATTATACTATACTAGGCACCGGTTTAAAAAAAGTGAATTATTGATGACGGAGTGAATTGACAAGACATACACCATTCGAAAGCTAATCGCCTGAGATTTTAGCATGGCAAGTTTCAGCTTTTTTGGAATCAAACTACGCCGACACTGGGCGAAAAACTCTGATATTATACTATACTAGGCACCGGTTTAAAAAAAAAGTGAATTATTGATGACGGAGTGAATTGACAAGACATACATACACCATTCGAAAGGTAACCTCCTAAGATTTTAGCATGGCAAGTTTCAGCTTTTTTGGAATCAAATTACGCCCGCCCCAGGCCAAAAACTCTGATATTATACTAGACATCGGTTTTGAAAAAAGGTGAATTAGTGATGACGGAGTGAATTGACAAGACATACACCATTCGAAAGCTAATCGCCTGAGATTTTAGCATGGCAAGTTTCAGCTTTTTTGGAATCAAACTACGCCGACACTGGGCGAAAAACTCTGATATTATACTATACTAGGCACCGGTTTAAAAAAAAAGTGAATTATTGATGACGGAGTGAATTGACAAGACATACATACACCATTCGAAAGGTAACCTCCTAAGATTTTAGCATGGCAAGTTTCAGCTTTTTTGGAATCAAATTACGCCCGCCCCAGGCCAAAAACTCTGATATTATACTAGACATCGGTTTTAAAAAAAAGTGAATTAGTGATGAAGGAGTGAATTGACAAGACATACACCATTCAAAAGCTAATCGCATGAGATTTTAGCACGGCAAGTTTCAGCTTTTTTGGAATCAGATTACGCCCACACTGGTCGAAACACTCTGATATTACCAGGCACCAGTTTAAAAAAAAGTGAATTAGTGATGTCGGAGTAAATCCTCACCAATCACATGTACAACTTTAATTTGGGCGTTTTGCTTTAAAAGACGATTTCTGAGTCAGTGCGTCAGCCGTGGACATAGGAAAAAATCGATTTTTAGTTTTTTGCATTAAAATGACTGTTGAAAGGTGCTAAGTAAAAGCGAACAATATTTTTTCCCAAAACCTTCATCAAGGTACATTTTTTTACAATTTACTGTTTTAGAAGTAATCGCCTCCAGCTGTCGTATCTTACCTTACTCGGCGATGATTTGACGGTTACTGAAGTTTTTGACCCTTGCGATGACGATGGAACCATTATTTTTCCGATTTTCCTACTGTAACATACCGTAATACCGTATCGGCCGCTAAAAAACGGCCGTAGAATCTTTCTTTCTGGAAATTTCACAGGCGATTTTACGATTTTTGGAATCAGCATAGAATTCTGCTCTAGAGGCAATCAAAAAAAGTTCGAAAAAAGCTGCGACAAATTTCGTGGTATAGTGGTTAGTGGTCGGGACTACCAATCCAGCGACCCGGGTTCGAGTCCGGCTGGGTGCGAATATCGAAAAGGAGTCGGAAATTAAATTTATTGTGATTCAGAGGTTTGTATATTTTGCCACGAGCAATTATCAATGTCAATGGTAGCTGGATTCGAGGCTAAAGCGGGGTTTATATAATTTTAGAGGTTCAATACATGAAAAAATAAAAGTGCTTCAAACCGGTTGAAATTGATAATACTTATTCTAAGGGCTATTCTAAGACGCTTTCTCGTTAACTTTTTTTTGGTAGCTTACTGTAACATGGATTACTGTGACATGAAATTCTGTTTTATTTTTCGCATACCACGGGGCGTAGAGAGCTCGGACTATCACCATATTGATAGAGATGGTTAATAACGAGTTGGCTTGCATACAAAATTTTCTTTATGGCCACACAGTTTGAAACAACACAGTTATTTCACGCAGTTTTGTCAGATAGCGATGATATCAAGACAGGCTGGAAATAAAGCGGAAATTTATTTTGTATACCTAGAGTGCATCTACTTCGTTGTTTGAGCGACCTAGTCAAAAAAACTCATGACTGGATGCAACAACTTTGAAGAAAATCGCGCTTAAGTACAAAATCTTTATCTTACTGTAGTGCATGGAACAGTAAGCTACCAGAAAAAAGTTAACGAGAAAGTGTCTTAGAATAGCCCTTAGAATAAGTATTATCAATTTCAACCGGTTTGAAGCACTTTTATTTTTTCACGTATTGAACCTCTAAAATTATATAAACCCCGCTTTAGCCTCGAATCCAGCTACCATTGACATTGATAATTGCTCGTCGCAAAATATACAAACCTCTGAATCACAATAAATTTAATTTCCGACTCCTTTTCGATATTCGCACCCAGCCGGACTCGAACCCGGGTCGCTGGATTGGTAGTCCCGACCACTAACCACTATACCACGAAATTTGTCGCAGCTTTTTTTGAACTTTTTTTGATTGCCTCTAGAGCAGAATTTTATGCTGATTCCAAAAATCGTAAAATCGCCTGTGAAATTTCCAGAAAGAAAGATTCTACGGCCGTTTTTTAGCGGCCGATACGGCATTACGGCATGTTACAGTAGGAAAATCGGAAAAATAATGATTCCATCGTCATCGCAAGGGTCCAAAACTTCAGTAACCGTCAAATCATCGCCGAGTAAGGTAAGATACGACAGCTGGAGGCGATTACTTCTAAAACAGTAAATTGTAAAAAAATGTACCTTGATGAAGGTTTTGGGAAAAAATATTGTTCGCTTTTGCTTAGCACCTTTCAACAGTCATTTTAATGCAAAAAACTCAAAATCGATTTTTTCCTATGTCCACCCCTAACAGACGGCTGATGCACTGACTCAGAAATTGTCTTTTAATTGTTCGACAGGATCTTCCAAAAGAACCGAAATGTAAGTTTTTTTATTTTGCTCGGACACGTTTCGTCGTATAACGGCGCGTGCAGGCTACAGGGTTTTTTATGTTACCAAATCTGTAAAACAAATCTAGATCGATCGTGGCACGTCGTTTTTTTCTGCTAATTACGGTTTGTATCGCCACGAAAAACAAGCTTTTGGCGTAATGCTTTAAAATTTTTTTTGGCTTGCGAAGCTAAAAATTTTTGCCGGTTGCACCACAAAAACATTTTTTGCCAAAAAATGTGGCATTGTGCATTTTTTATAATTTTCCTTTTGTTGTGGCCACATGCATAAAGTGATGTGTAACAGCATAAATAGCATCATATTTAACAAAAAATACATGAATATATATTTAAGGAGCGTCAACAATACTAATAATCTTATTAATCTGATATTCGGCGATACCACCTCTTAGTATAACATAATCCGGGAATTGAAAAAAATTCGCGTACAGAAAATTCTGCAACTGAACACATATTTTCTCTGGATTCTTCCGCATCAACTGGCATATCGGGTATACCCAAGTTTCGTTGGAACTGCGAGATATGACCGAATCTTTAACTGAAACACCCATGATGTTTTAGATGAATATGGAAAGGCTAAGATGATAACAGGTGTCATGTTGATTCTTAAAGGAGCTTAGTCCATCGAAATTTCAGAAAATATCATTCAATGAGTATGTGTGCCGATGGTTTTTGCGTAAATTAGGTTGTGGTAAATTAGAATTTTCGGCGCTTCTTCCCTCTTTTTTCAATCAATAATAGCGCCGCCCCGTTAAAAAAACATTTTCCAATTACGAAAGAACGATGTGCGTGGAGGATGTAATTAGCACGATGTCTCAGTGAATATCAAATTGTGAGTATTTAAATTTCAGGAGTCGAGTGATGTCCTAGCCAAGCTCGATATTATCTATCAAGAATTGGTCAAAAACACCTTTTACTATGTCTCCCGAGCTCTGTACAAACAGGATCGTCTGGCATTTGCTCTACGGTTCGTGAAGGCTGAACTGTTCGATGATAAGGTAAGGGTTTCAAACTGTGGTTTCTGTTTTTAGATGTTGTATTAGGTACCAGCGAAGAATTAGTTTAAAACTGCCGTCTTTGATAGGTGTATTACCTAAATTCATGCTTAAGATTTCCTCTTGCAGGAGTGGAACTTTTTCAGCGGCAACCTGGTGGATGAAGCGGTCTTGGACTCTGGATCTGCACCTTCTTGGCTGTCCGAAGAGGTTCAACAACAATTCGCGAGATTACGAGCGTATCTTTCTCTCTTTATTCACAATTAGGTTTGCAAGATCGTTCTTCATTAACAGACTATGCATAACAATAGTAGCCAGCTTCCGGGGCATATTTATCAGAAACTCAAATTTCCAGAAGGTTCTTCTGATCTCAACCGGAGAATGCAACCACCGCAATGACGTCACTTGTTACGCGTAGTCTTCAAGTGCCATCGATTAATCCGCCATCCAATGAGCTCATAGTTGCCACCTAATCGGCCGATATTGCTGATCCTCGGTCTATTGAATAACGTCCATTTTGTACCCGATTTCTTGCTCATGATTCACTCAGTAAGTTTTATTTTTAGATGTTATTTCTTTCAAGCCACTCTAATTTCGACTGCCTTTGAAGCAAAATTTATATTGTACTTGATATTAACGTCAAAAATTTTGATCTCAGGAGTCGCGCACCAGATCTCCAAGTCCGTCCTTCCGTCTATGGCTGAGTGCAGAGCCAGACAACCAATTCCCAGCGGTTCCATTGCAAGACGCACTCAAGATTGCGTACGAGACGCCTCCGGGAATCAAACACAATATTAGCGGGACTTTGAAACAATGGATTGACGTGGAAGGAAATAGTGGGAAATCGGAGTTGGAACTGAAGACTCAATTCTTGTTGGCGTGGTTCCACGCTATCATCTAAGAAAGAAGAACGTATATTCCACAGGTAAAGTTGTGTTATCCATGATAAGATTTTCTTGAAATTTAGGGATGGCTAAAGTTTTACGAGTTCAATTCGAACGACTTGAGAGTTGCCAGACAGGTCCTTGATGCGATGGGTTCAAAGAATGGTGAGTTCTTTGCGTACTTTTTAGTTTTTTGTTGTTTAGGTTATAATTGGGAATCGATTCGCGGCTTTATGGAAGATGCGATATATGGGGGAATAATCGAGAATCAACTCGACATTGGAGTACTGTCATCTTACTTGGACAAGTTTTTGAGCCAAAAAATGGTGACGAGTAGAGATGGGGAACTGGATTCAAATCTTAGAATGCCCGAGGCTAAATCAATGAACGAGTGGCTGGATTTCGTCAAGAATAAGGTGAGGAATGCCATACCTTTTCCGGCCGACAGCCTTACTAAATGCCCTTAGGCAATGTAGTGCAAGGTGGGTGGAAAATCGAGGAAATTATGGGGATTACGGCAGTTTTTGGGCCGTTTCTGGAGTGGGAAGTGTTGTAAATTTGAAGAAGAGAGTTTTTTAGTTGAGCTAGAGCGGTTACGGTAGTTTTAAAATAACAAGATTGATTTTTTTTGTTGATTTACTACTACGATATAAATTTTTTTTTCAGACACCTAAATGTTGGCGTGAACAGACTCCAATTCGTCACTAGCTTGTCCAAAATACAGTCCAGAGCCCCCTCGATCCAGACTGGCCAACAAAAAATTCAGGGCGCCGTTCTGGGAGGAGGCCATTTAATGGCTGTGGACCAGAATTCTGCAGCGATTTCTTCGGCTCCGGTCATACATGTGGCGTGGATTGGAATGGTAGGATCAGTTTTGGGGTGTGGGGGATGTTTTCGACAAAATTTGATGATTTTTTTTATTTTTTAGGATGAACCCGAGCCATATCGTCAAGAAGAAAGCGCCGAAATCCCATTGTTTGTGGCTTCAAACCGAACGGAATTCGTATGCCAAGTGAAAGTCCCGTGCTCCCAAGGCCAAAGAGAGCAGTGGGTCCTGGCGGCGTTTACCCGGATTTGATTCAAATATCATACGTCATATTTTGCATTTATTTTTTATAATTATATTGTTGTGTGATTGTATGATCTCATTGAATAAATAGAAGGTAATTTGTAGTTGTAATTAGCTGAATTTCCAGTGATTCTACTTTATGTTAGATTTTTTCTTCAAGACCGAGTAGATTGAGCTTGGAGGCAGCTGGGAATGGTCCTCATCAAACAGGATCTGAATTTTCTGCTTGGATTTCTTCAAATTTTCGGCGAGATGGTCCATCTGGAAGTAAAATTTTATAAAAGTCAACATGTGCAATATCCAAAAAAAACTAAAATTTTAGACAAAAAACTAACTAGACTACAAGATCGAGTCCCAAGCGGCCATTAGACACAGAGGCTTTTTGACGTTTGTTTGAGAAATCCACTGGCCGATAAGGCACCGAACTCATTCCAGTTTAAGGTTTCTTCTCCATACATGGCTGGAAACAGTAAGAGTCAAATCACATCAATTCGAGATTTTTGCCATTTCCCGATATTATACAGGGTGACCCAAAAAACGATCATCAAGACTTTTCGTAATAAAAAGTTTGTTTTTCGGTACAAGCACAAATTTATGAATTCAAACGATAAACAACAAACCTGGTGATCAAGTACTAAGCTAGTTTCAAAGCAGCAGCACTTGGCGGCGATATAGAGCGCCAAACGCAACTTAAAATTTTGGGCTCGGGGCCGCAGCTTTTTTCGGGGAAATCGTTCCCGTTCTCAGCGCAGCGACCACTCAGTGACTCCAAACTGTTGTGACGTGTAGTACAGGTACTGCCCTCCAATTGAAAAAAAATTTATAGTTCATCGGTGTCAGATCCGGCGAGCAGGCGCACTTTTCGCAGACTGGGTCAAATCGGAAAAATCGGTCCCATTACTGGTCTTGAATCGCTTTTGCCTTGTGAGCCAGCGCTGAGTCTAGTTGAAACGCTAAATTTGCATCGCCAACGTTCTTCTAAGTCAACGGAAGCACGACGAGATGGAGATTAACGCAGAGCTAGAATTTTGCCCCCTTGATCCACTAAAAGCATGGATTTCTTGCCGCTGGCACAAATTCCGCCACAGAGGGTAACGGTCCGCATTTTGTCGGGTTTTGACGTTAGCTAATGTGCTCGGGGCCTCATTGGACCAGATCCTGTCGTTCTGGTGGTCGTGCATCCGCTAAACATTAAACCACGAAAGGAATGTGCTCACACCTCTGAGCTGCGGCCCGACACTTAAGTTTCAGGCATCCCTGGCGCTCTACGCGCTTGTTGCCGCCCTTGAGGGGTTGACCTTTTTGCAGCTTGTACAGTACGGGGTTGAGCTTTTCTTTGGCTATTCGGTTGACGAATTGATCGCTGATACCGTTCTTGCGGGCGATTTTTTCTCGAAATTCGCGGAGTTTGTTGTTAATGATGCCGCGTCTCGCAGAAGTGTTTGCGGTGCGTTTTCGTTCACTTCCTGGACGCTGACTACTCTTGCCAAGCTACTTGTAACTTGGGATTGTTTTCGTCACAGCGTCCTTTCCACATCTAGCAAATTAACAAGTTTCCTTTTGTCGAAACGGTCCCAAAATCGCAGTCCCTTTCTATTGACATTTAAAAAACATGTTAATCAATCGATATGGACATAAAAAGGGAAGTATTAGGACAGAAAAAAGCGGAGAATTTAATAGTGCAATAATTATTTCCCTGAATCTAAAAATTTTCGCGTTAGGACACAAACAAATTTGATGATCGTTTTTTTGGGTCACCCTGTACATGACAGAAAAGCAACATCTGGTTGAAACAACTTACAATACTCCTTCTTTGGGCTGATCCCATCCTCAGAAAATCCGTCAAAGGCTCGTGTACGTTCTCGGACCAAGAGAATTCCAGATATACTTGTAGAAGATACCAGTTTTGATAACAACTCTCTAAAAGAAGAATAATATAAAAAAACTTTACCAAAATTTTTTCGCAAAGCTCAGCGGCCAAGCCCTTACCTTGTCAAATCATCCACAGCGACCAGTGCTATCAGCTCATTGAATCCCCATGGCAAACCTTTAACGGCCGTCTCAATCTCTGCGGATTCCTTGATCTCAATCAAAAGACCAACATTTCCTTCTCTCCCAGCTAAATTCATTCAGAAGCTGATAAAAAGTTGAATCACTAAGCACAGAGGGTTGCTGTGGGCACAAAACGATCTAAAAGTCCGTAAACATTAAAGAATGCATCAAAATCAAAAGTAAGCAAACAGAATTCATCAAAAACTCACCAAAACGTGGCATGCATCCCAAACATTGTGTCCATGGTCGCCCAGATACCCACAAAATTCCATGAAGTCCTCCGAAAAATCACAACGCGTTGCAACGTTTCAATAATTTTGCCAACAAAAAAATTGAATAAAAATTGGAAGAAAAAAGTCAAATTCTGCCACGAATTCTCACAAAAAAAAACAAATTTGCATATTCGAAATTCACCAAATTTTCGTTTTCATTTTTCTCATTTACCGGTAATTCCCCCAGGAATCTGGTTTTGTCGCTTACGCTATCATCATGTCCAGCACAAGCACCACCTCCTCCCGCCATTCCGGCGATGAATCCGCCGTTCAGGCGATGGCCCCAACTCCAAACACCGCTGCCGTCCCGGTGTTTGGGGTTGGGGAACGGTCGACGTGTAAGTCCAGGGGACTTTGGGGTTTTTCGGGGTTTTGGGGATTCTGAGCGGAGATTTCAAAGTTGGGAACTTCTCAACAAAATCCCAGGAAATCCGTCATCATAGGTGAATTGAAATTTCCAGTCATCTGGCAATTCCTTTTGACATCTTTCTTCTTCTTTATGACACCATTTTTGGTCTAAAAATCCTAAAATAATGATATTGTAGTAGATGATGACAATGGATTTTTTTGGTATTTTGATGACGAAATTCCAGCTTTGAAACCCGCAAAATGCTTTTAAGTCTATTTGAGATGATTTACTTTGAGCTTAGGGGCAGTTATATGCAAAAATATTAAAACATCTCTCGGTCCTGATATCTGATGTCTAGTACAACATAATTTTGGAGTTAAATACTCAAAAAAAAAGGGCTCAAACCAGTTGGCTTTGAGCTCTAATTGCCTCAATGTATTTGATTTGAAACTCAACACTTCTTTATATTGGATTTCACCAGTAAAATAATGAAGTTTGATATGAATTTTAAAAAAAAAATCGGATCCATTTTTGGCTGGTGGGTTTCTACCATAAATCCCGCCAAAAGGGACTAAACTAGGCCTAATGGCCCCGAAAACACCCCAAAAGGCCTGGGAGTGTAATATTCTAGGCGAATATGACACTAAAAAGCTTTCTAAAGAAAGTAATTTCATGGCTGGTGAGGAGTACTGTAAAGCCCGCCGGAAATCGCCTTGTTATTGTGGAATACAGCCGAAATTGGCCTTGATACATTTGTTGCAACGCGATGTATCGATTCCCGCTCAATTCGAACACTGCAAGTAAGTCTATTTTTTGAGTTTTACAGTTTTTAGAACCTACAACGTCGTATGAAGAAGATCGTACACACAAGAATTGAGGGGTGAAGGTGAAATTTTGGGCATTTTTAGCCGTTTTTGCCGTATTATTCAGAAAATGTTCGAGCAAAAAACAGTCGGCCTTTCGAAAATTTTAAAAAACCAAATTTATGCAACTTTTTAATTTATTTTTAGAAAGTTTTTTGGAATAAAAGAAAATTCTTGAGCTTTTTTACACCTCCTCAGGCAATAAAGTCAGATTTAACAATATTTACTAGCTGGAATAAACCCTGACCCTAATTTTAATATAAATTTTAGTCAAAAACGTAAAATTTTTTCCTGAATTTTGCCCTACACCAAATCTTGAACAATATCCCAGTCCCAAATCTTCGAACATCTTACCGAAGCCTCCAAAACAACATCAAGAAGATCCTTGTCATCATTGAGGTGTCAAATCGGATCCATGAAGATCAACTTCGAGATTCTCATCACTTCAGTGGCTCAGCAACAAGTCGAAGATGGATCAGTTCTGACAACTTGGGCAGTTCCAGCACTGTATCTACGACGGCCTCGCCTAAAATAGAATCTTCTTATTATAAATGCCGTTTTCATACTGTATTGGTCATAAATTATTATTATACATAGTAATTTGGAATATTCTTGGAGCCAAAAATCCCCAAACAAACAATAAACTATTCACTTTCATGGCCAAAAATGGTCTTACATTTTTGTTTTAATCCAATTGCCATCCACTTCCATCTGTATTATGCTCCATGGACCAGGTAAAGATTTTTTGACTTGTTCCAGCCGTTTCAGTTGTTCCAGTAATTCCAAGATCGACATCTCGATGGGTCATGTCCTCCCATCTACGGTCCCGTTGGAGCCCTGAAACATCAACCATTACAAATGGATATCCATATCTTTTTAAAATTGTAATTGTATTTACTATTTCATAAATACTTACATTACTTTATATTCTCCATGTCCATTGACTTTTTTTTGACTTATAACCGGGGTTTCGTGTAAAGCACCACATGACGACACGACGAAGCACCTGGACCTTCTCATTTGGACCAATTCAAGTAATGGACTGACTGTTGAAGATCGACATCTGCTGGACCATTTCTCCGATGATTATTAACGGTTAGAGTCCCATTAGACAAATTCCAAGGGGTGGGGAGCTCGTCTCGTCCATGGATGGACGTTATTGAAGTTTGTTCTTGGCCTTTGTCCTCGTTCTTCTTGTCCGAATCTTGTTGAATGACTTCTCGAGGTGTTCTGTGCTGTTCTCCAGGTGGACGTGATTTCTCGTCGTTATGGCTCGTCGAATTTACGGTTTCGTGCCGCGTGGACTTTTTCAGAGACTTTACACATCGGCTAAAACACCGTGTTCATCATCTTCGCTCAGTCTTAACATCAAAAAACCCAGCAAACCGACTTACCGACTTGACCAACATCAAAATTCACCATCATGATATTGGACTCTACTCTTTGGAGTTACCACCTTCACAAGACTTCAAAGTGTTCGCAAAAAAAGGTGAAGGATCATCGATCACCCAAACATTCCATTCCATCAACAATCCACCATCAAATTTGTTTTTACGGCAGGACTCCAATTGAAGTAACCAGCCTCAGCAGTGATTTCCTTAGCCTGAAGATTATTCATGACATCAACACCGTCTTGGGAATTATCGAACAATCAATGTATATCTGGAATGAAGCATTAAAAACACGAATAGAAGGAGAAACCACGAAATTACACCAATTTTTAGACGTTTTCGCCCATTTGGCCCCTGGACTCACCTTATTTTAGCTCAATTCGAACATCCAAACGCCAAGCTGACCATTTTCATCTTCATCAATCCAATCCATTACCCGTTTTCCATGATTTTCACGTCGACATCACCACAAGTCGTACAAAGGTTGTCCATCCGCATCTAATCTTCTTCCATCGAGGAGCAACCATCATTTTGCTTCGGATCACCGCCATTAATTTCGTCTTATCTCAATTTCTGGGGTCCTTTTGAAGGTTCTCCTTGTTCCACGTTGTCGTTTGATCCGATCTTCGGGTCATTCAGTGTTCTGCAGCTTTCGAGCTGCTTTGCTGTCGATTTCCTGATCACCACTTTAAAATACGCCTTCCGGTCGCCATCAACATAAAAAATCAGCTTGTTTTTCTTGTGGTTAATACGGTTTTCGTCGCTGCACTTCAATCTGGATGGAATTTCGACATCATTGGACTGTTTTCTGGACAAATGGACAATTCTTCACAGGACTTTGAGTGAATTATGGAATTTTCGGCCACCGTGGCCTTCAGAATCAAAATTATGGATCTCCAGCATCAGGATCTGCACCTAAAAACAAAAAATTAAATAGGGAAAATAGACAGAATAGGCTATGTTAGGGCCCTTAGCGAGGGAGTTAGCAGTTTTAACCATATTTTTTGAATTTTCGTCTAATTTTGGTGATTTCAGTGTCTCCAAACAACGCCGGCCAGGCCTCCGGGCCACGCTCGAGCCCTCCATCCGAGCGCCAAGCCCATTCCGCTCTGGCTGAAGTCTTGCCGGCGGTAATGGCCCCTCCTCTGGTTGGCCAGCATCCAACCGGCGTCCCAGAGGAGGGTAAAGAGGGGCCAACCCCAACCACTGGCCCCTCGGGCTTCGGCCCAGAACCGGCCCCAACCGTTCAGGCCGAGCATCTGCCGGCGGTTGAGGGCTCGGAAGGATCGTTGGACCTGGACTTCTCGAGCTTCTCGAACTGCAGCTCCAGTACGAGTGAGGAGCACTCCACACTGCATGATGTCCCGTCGATCAGATCACTTGAAGTCTTCGATGAGGGAGCAGCGTGCGAGGAGACGTTAGCGGACCAAAACGACCGCCTCCGATTCCAAAGAGACTTCTGGAAGACCCAATGCCGCACACTTTGGGAACGACAAGAGACGTTCGAGAAGAAGGTCAAGTTCTACCAAGAAGCCCTGGTAGAGGCGGAAGTTGAGGCCAAGAAGGCCAAAGAAGCAGCCTCCGTCGCCACAAAAAAGGCCGAAGAAGAAAGGGCACTGAAGGAAGCGGCAGAAAAAGAAGTCGCCGAACTGCAAGCCCTCCATCGGCAACACCTTCGGACAGCCGTCGCCGATGACCGGCCGCCAAGGGCCGAAAGATCGAGGTCCAGAAGTCCGCTGATGACGACAGCGTGGTCAATAACGCCGACAACAGCAGAGATTCTAAGGATCGACGTCACCCAGCCCCCAGCGACCCAACACCCGCCGCCACCCGCAGATCAGGGATATGAGGTCCAAGAACAAAATCACGAGGCTCCTGGGCCTCTACGAAGAATGCCAAAGTGCAAACGGCGATGTTGCTACCAGCCCTCAGCCGATCCTCAACGGCCTCGGCCCCACCGAAGGTCGAGGGAACTTCAAGCACTTGGTCCAGTGCTTCAAGAAGACAATGGCCCAGAAGAACACCAACGTCCACGAAGAGAACGGAAGCCTCCGTCACGGCTCATCGTCGACATGGTGAGCCGATCGTATCGGACTTCACAGGAGCCCAGGTTGCCTCGTAAGTCAATTTTTTCGATATCTTTACCATTTTTACCCAAAAAACCCTTTAAAAATTATCAATTTAGCATTTTTTCAAAAGCTATATTTACTATCCCAATTTTAATCAATAACATCAAGATTTTTTCAGGTCGAAGAGTCGTCAGTCCATACTAAGTGGCCAAGAATTCAACATGGCGCAATCGCGCAGTCACTCATGCCTAATCACGTAAGCTTTTGGCAGCGTCCCTCCAATAATCCTAATTTTTTAGCAATTTATCCAATTCAACCTCGGCAAGCAACAACGAGATCACGGGTCGATAAAAATGCTTGCCCCAAACCTTTGTTCGACCGACTGGAACGCGAAAAAAGTAAGTTTTTTCTCCAAAGCTATTTTTGCGAACTGCGCCCGAGGAAAGAACAATCGCTATTTTTTACGCTGTTGGATTTTGGTGGCATATTTTGGACGAAAATGGTCGATATAATATGACTATATTTTCAGATGGAGACCGGTCTAAAGGGAAGATAAGCACCCTAGCCCCCCGAATGAGCCCGGGGGGCCTTTGGAAAAAATACAGGGTGCCATCTTCCCCTTGTTTTGGTCAATTTTCGGCTGAAATCAGGTAAGTTTTCGTGTAAAATTTATATTTTTCATTTTATTTTTTGCAGATCTCGTTCAAACGAGATTGAACTGGGAAGGAGAGAGCACCCTCGCCCCCTGACTGAGCCCGGGGGGCTTCTGGATCATAAAAGGGTGCTCTCACCCGTTTCCATCAAAGTGGAAGATGTTCCACTTTGATGGATGGTCAAAACCGGAGCACCCTGGCCCTCCACTTGATCCGGAGGGCCTTGTGGAAAATAACGGGTGCTCGGCTGGACCAAATGAGGTAAGATTTTTTTGTTTTGGGAACTGCTTGACTTTGATTTAATCTAAAGTAATATAATTTTATTTTCAGCCAATGCCAAACAAGTTCATGAAGGAACAAGAAACTAAGGTGGAGCACCCTAGCCCCCCGAATGAGCCCGGGGGGCCGTTGGAAGATAAAAATGGGTGCTCACCTTTTGTTCCGGTCTCAGTACGTCTTTGACCGAACCTTGGTCGACCGGCACCCTGGCCCTCCACTTGATCCGGAGGGCCTTGTTGAAAATAACGGGTGCTCGGCAGAACCAAATGAAGTAAGAATTTTTTGTTTTCGGAACTGCTTGACTTTAGTCTAAAGTAATATAATTTTATTGATCATTTTATTTTCAGCCAGCCCCCTGAACAAGCCCAGCGATCCTCTCCCTTCAAGGCCCGCTACCGAAGGGATAAAAGAAAAAAATGTAAAAAAGACAAAAAAGAAAAGCCAAAAAAAGAAAAGCAAAAAAAATTAAAAGGCCAAAAAAAGGCAAAAATAGAAGAGCCAGAAAAAAATTGCAAAGGCCAAAAAAATTGAAAGGCGAAAAAAAGAAAAGGCAAAAATAGAAGAGCCAAAAAAAATAATGAAAAAGGCCTAAAAAAATTTAAAAAAAAAAAATATTTTTTGAAAAAAAAACAAAAAAGAAAAGCCAAAAAAGTAAAAAAAAAATAAGAATTATATTTGTACCTAAGATTCAAGTAAAAATGTTCCCAGTCAGTTGTTCCCAGCGGATGTCTACGACGAGATTATTGCCCCGGCCTGCCCTACGCCCGAAAACACAACCTCTTCAGGTGGCCAAAGCCCTCGGAACCCATCCCGAGGTAAGTTTTACCATGGATAATATAAAATTTTTGACAAGGAAGGTACTTCAATGGGTTATCGAGTTACAGGTCGAGTCATATATCAAAAAAATCGCAAAATTTTTTTTGATTCAGATTATGTAAAAATAGTAGCTAACTTTATGTAAAAGTTAGCTACCGATTTTGGTTGGTAAGGGTGAAAAAATCCTCAGAAGTTTTCACGCAACACCACGCAAATGCCTTTTTGACAGCGTTTTTACCAAATCAAAAGCTTCGTTTTGAGCTAAAGTGAACCTTGGCATCTTGACAAGCCTTAAAATATCAAATTTTATTAATACTACACCTTAATTAGTAGTTCCAATATAAAAAAAAGGCATTTGTGTGGTGCTGCGAGAAAAGTTCTGAGGATTTTTCACCCTGACAGTCCAAAATCAGGCAGCTAACTTTTACATATTCTGAATCAGAAAAATTTTACGATCTTTTTGATCTATGACTCGACCTGTAACTCCACACCCCGTAGAAGTACTTTCCTCGTCAGAAATTTCAAAACTTTTCTCCTAATTACGGAGAATTTTCTTGGATGGGGAAAGAGTTGACTCATCTTGGTCAAGTCTTCCTCTCTAGACGAAAAATGCAATGTTGCATAGATTTAGTTTGTTGCAGGAGGAGCGGACTGTATAACGACATGTTGGGAGCTTTTCTGAATCAGTATTGTAGTGTTCGGTTAAGATTATTGATCTCTTGTCATGTATAATATAATTTATCTTTGATACTTTCAGAATATTACCCAATCTTCGCCGTGGAGACTTGCGAGTACCTTGAAAACCTCCAGATTGATCTTCATCGCTTCCTCGAAGAGTTCGTTGACTTTGCATGTTACAACAAGGTGATTTGAAGGGAAAAATGGAAGCAGTAAGTTCCATCAGCCAATGTTTTTCTTTTTTGCACACGGGGTTTACAGGGGAAGTACTCCAAGTGCGACGCTCAGATTTTCTTTAAATTTTGCACACACGTCGGGTATGGACCAAATATCAATTCCTGAAAGTTTTAGCTCGCGCTTTGCGGGCGCCGCCGAGATATCGAACGATTTTTGCCGCCGAGAGAGCACGCTAAACGTGGAGAGCGGTCAGAGAGAAAAGCGCTTTTTGGCCATTACTTTGGCAGTTTCGTGCGGAAAAATTTGATTTTTTTTAGAAACATTATCCTTTACAGTTGAAATAGGCATGAAACTTTTCGTGCCGAAATTCGGCAAAAAGTCCTACATTTTCGCCGACTTTCGATCTAAAAATCTCGGTTGTTTGTGCTAAGCGCGAGCTAGGATTGTCGCAAATTATTCTAAATTTGTGCTAAGTTTCATCAAAATCTGAGCGTCGCGCTTGGAATACTTCCCCTGTTAGTTTCGGGATGTTAGAGTAGCTGAGCCGGCTTTCGAATAATTATTCGGGACAGGTTTCATCGTTTATAATAAGTTTTTACCGTTTTGTTTGATCTTTACGCCTTTTAATTGCCAAAAAATACTATATCCTTACTATAGATGCGCCATTTTTGATACACATTTCATACACAGTTACACAAACATATGTAATACATGTAATTCATGACTATAGGGCTCTAGTTTTGGGCAGAGAATTTTATGGAGCTATAGACAGTAAACGCTTTTGGACACGTTGGCCCTTGTTGAGGGGTTTAGAGATATTTTTATAGGGCTGATGTTTTTACGTTGTTTTAGTAATTTTTTATAACTTTTCAGAGAACCTCTCTCTACAAGGCCCGCCACCGAAGGAATAAAAGAAAAAAGTGTAAAGAAAAGCCAAAAAAAAATTTAAAGGCCCAAAGAAAAGAAAAGGCAAAAAAAGAGCCAAAAAAACTAAAAGAAGAGCCAAAAAAAACAAAGGCCAAAAAAAGTAAAAGTTAAAAAAATACTAGTCGCGACATAAAGTCCTGAGACGTTTGCACTGTGCGTTTTTGTTTTCCTTTCGCGCGAGTGCGCCACTTTTCTCGCGCGACACCCGCGACAAAATGTGTCAGGACTTTATGGCGCGACTAGTACAGGCCAAATGAAAAGAAAAGGCAAAAAAAGAGCCAAAAAAAAAGCAAAGGCCAAAAAAAAAAATATATTTGTATCTGGAATTCAGCGAACCCAATGAGTTGTTCCCAGCGGATGTCTACGACGAGATTATTGCCCCGGCCTGCCTCTACGCCCGAACACTCAATTTCTTCAGCTGGTCAAAGCCCTCGGAACTCATCCTAAGGTAAATTTTGCCATGGATAATATAAAATTTTTGAAAATTTTTAAAACTTTTCTCGTAATTACACCTATAGTCATTCCAAAGATTACTGAAAGACTTACTGATCGCTTTATTTCAGACCCAAGGTTGACAGATGACACCGATCCATCAGTAGTTCGTCTGGTCTACAGTGGTGTTACAGTTTTTGCCCATCGCGGAGTCCTCCATTGATCTTCGCCCACGCCAATGAATTGGTCTATGGAAGCAGTAAGTTGTGGAGATTGAGGACGGAATGGTCCGCTAAAAAAAGGAAAGGGGAGGGCGGGGAGAGGGGGGAGGTTTTCGATGACGCTGATTTCGAAAATCATATCCATTTTTTCTGAATTTTACGAAGTTTGACCAAGTTTTTACCAATTAAAACATTTATTTTGAAGAATTGAAGAGGATATAGGCAAAGATTCAGAAGAAATGGATTCGATTTTTGTAATCAGCACCATCGAAAACCTCCTCTTTCCCTTTTGTTTAGCGGACCTTTCCGTCCTTCGTGAGTTGTAGCTGGTTTTTATTGCATTACTTGCAGATATCTTCAAGCCCCAAGCTACGGATAAAAAAACTAAAAAAAGATTAAGAAAAGGAAAAAAGAATAAGAAAAAAGAGAAAAAAATTGTAAGAAAAAAGGAAAGAATAAAAGAAAAAAAGGAAGAAAAAAAGAAAAAAAGAAAGAAAAAAAGAAAAATATAAAAGAAGAAGCCTCATCGCTTCCACTCCCACCACTTCCATTACTCGCCCTCCTCTACCACTCCCACCACCCTCCTCTCCCTTTCCCTTTCCCCTCCCCCTCCCTCCCCTTCACCCAATCATCAAAGCCTGCTTTGGTGATTAAAGTAAGTTGTTTTTTCCCCAATTGTAGGCCTTTATTTCTTGTTATAAGTCCAGATACTGCTCGTTCTACTTTTAATCTTATTTATTTTCATGGAAACCATCGAGAATCCGTTTCTTGGAGCCCTGGAGAAGTTGGAGAAATAAATGGTGCCCTGGTGGCCCCCACCGCGGAAAGATCAGAAAGGTACGTCGATTGGGAGTGATAAATTATGGAATCGAGATCTAGAAGGGATAATGCGAGCATTTTAAGGGAATAAGAGTTTACTTTTGTAAAAAAAGCCCGTCATCACGATATATTTTTTGAAATGTTACGGTAGAGATAAGGGTTTTCTAAACTCTGATTTTTACTGTGGTGTGAACGAGTTACACTCAGGTTTAGAAGCTTAAAAATAGCTATGTGCTATTTTTGTTTTTGATTATTAGATACATATGAAGTTCTCGTCATGACGGGCAACTTACAATTAGGAGGTTACATTTCTTGTGATTTTTTGGAAGAATTTTAGAATTTTTTCTCTTTTTTCCGGAGGTTTGAGGGAATTAGAAGATGTGGGGTGCCGTAAAAAGCAGTTTTATACGAAGTAATGACTAGTTTTTGTCGTTAATAATGTGGTCATGACGGTATTGGGATATTTTTATATTGCTGATGAGATGATTAACTTTCCTGTTTAATTTTTCGCGTTTAAATACATTTTTCTTTCAGAAGTGCATCCAGTATTGCCTTATGGTTGAAGAGGAAGCTAGAGTGAAAATGAAGAACAAGTTGCTTGCCGAGCCCTGCAAACGGTCGATTCCTTGAAGATGCACAGTGCAATTGTTTGGAGGTAGGCGAAACTTTGTTAACAAAAGGGCGGTTTGGTTGATCTAGGGCTCGAAATCCTTTGAATTTGGATTCGAATGATGTAGATCACTACATTCGTCGTCATGACGGATTTTATTATAGTATCCGACGTATAGGAGTAGTCGTTTCTTTGTGAAGTTTTAATCTCTGTAGTGAAATATTTGATCCTTTTGAGGGGTAAGTGGCGATAAAAGACACTTTTTATTCCAAGAAGTATATGATTTAGTTGTATTGTACTTGTTTGCGAAAGACTTTGGGGAATTTTACATTGTTCATAAGATAGCCCAGTTCCGTTTTCAAAATTTTCCATTTGTAATGAAATTTGTTTCAGGTTGCGTAGTTTCTCTACGAACCACAATTCATCTCAGAAAGAAGAAGTTTGAGTGTCTGGAGCCCTGGATACCAAGATCAAAACCATCATCGTTTAGGATGAACAGTGCCAGAAAATTAAAAAGTAAGTGGGTTGTGGGCAGAGATTGCCACGGTCAAAATTTTGGCTCCGGCTCTTGGCTCCGTGCAAAATTTAAAAAGGCCTCCGGCTCCGAATCCCGGCTCCTTTGCAAAACGTTTTTTTAAAAATATTTTTCCAAAAATAAAAGTTATTTGTGCCAGAGATCATACAGCCAACGTTTCTGCAGTCAAGTCACATCCTCCGCAGTGTTTTTTCAAGCAATTTGGTTTAACAAGATCACGAAATTTTTACTTTTCTGACCGCTGAGAAGCCTGGCTCCGACTTTGGGCTCGGGAGCCGGAGAAAATTTCCGGCTCCGGCTCTGGCTCCCGGCTCGGAGCCGGAGCCGCCCGGAGCCAAGAGCCGGCTCCGGAGCCGTGGCAATCTCTGGTTGTGGGTTATTAATATGGTTTTAAATTTTTGTCTCCGTAGTGCAATATTCGTTCGTTTTAGAGGGTAAAATTTGACAGACTGCTCAATGCAGTATCTGATTTAGTGGTAACGGACCGGGCTATGAAAGTTCTTTGGGAGTTTTATATTGCTCAGAAGGTAGTTCAATCCCGCTCTCAAATTTTCCCATCAGTAATAACTTGTTTTCAGGTTAATCATCAAAGTTTCCATGTAACTGACACGGCATCGAAGAAGGAAGAAGTTTGGGTGTGATATCAAGAAGAAAATGGTCGTCGTTTGGGCTGCACAGTGACAGAAAATTAAAAAGTAAGTTGGTTGTGGGTTAGTAAACAGGCTTTAAATTTGGTAGGACGATCATAGGGGTATATCAGATAATTTTGAAACTGAATTTCGTGATAATGAAAAAGTAAATTTTTGCCCACTTATATTGCAGTAGGGGACCTGATCCAGTGGCAAAAAACGTGCCATTTTGCATCAGGGAGGTAACAAAAATGTGGCAAAATATTTACGTCCCTCTCCAAGTAAAAAACTTCGATTTCAAAAGCGGGCCCTCTATAATATTTTTTGAGGGAAGTGCTCGCCCTTCAAAACGGAGTTTTTTACTTGGAAGCATTTTGACACATTTTTTTGATACTTCCCGGATGCAAAAACGTATGTTTTTTACCACTGGATCAGGTCCGTCACTTTATCCACGACATCAGCAAGTCTGATTTTTTGATCTCTCAGATGAAATAAAGAGGCTAAAGTAAATCGGTAATTGCGTTAAGAGGTCTCCAACACATTTTGGGTGATTTTGGTACGAGGTTATTGACCATATTTTTAAATGTTTTTGCTTCCTAATTTATTTGTCTTTCAGATTTCCTCTGCTCCCGCAAATATCGAACTGTCCAGCCCCTGAGGAAGAAGAATCTACAATTTTAATTTGATCTACATATTTGTTGTTGCTTTTTATTTTATTTTATTTGCTTTGCAAGGGGAAGGGGAATGTGAGAAAGGGTAGGGAAGGTAAGTAGCCGGAATTGGGACGAATGATGCTCTAGTTAAGCCGTTTTTGATGAATTTTTATTTCTGGGCCGGTAGAGAGCATGTTACTTATATAGCTTACTATTGACGGTTTGCTCTGAGAGTGTGGGGTACACTGAATCCCTATAGTTATTGACTGGGGAATTTTGTGAATTTTGGCCTACAGATGGCGGGTTTATGAACCAAATTACTTATATCCCCGAGGGCTTTGAGCAGTTTTGACCTAGAAGATTGATTATAATAGGTGAGGAGGTGCCCCAGGACGGACGGTTGGATGGATTAGTGTGGGTTGTTTGTTTGTCTGTTTTTTCGGCCGTATAAGCGCGATTTCTGTGGTCTTGTGTCGTTTGAGTAGTGTATTGAAGCCAGAAATGGCAAATTCATCACCGAATTCTCCTCGAATTCAGCAGTGAACACATAACCATGCTTCTTGTCTGTAAACTCCCGAAATCCGACGACCGGTGCGACAAATTCCATCGCTTTCAACACTGCGGCCTCCCCGTTTCATGTTGGTTTCTTTCGAAGAGACCCCGAGTTGAAAGAGACCCCCCCCCCCTTACGATGTTCGCCGAAAAGCTCAAAAATAGTAGGGTAATCGACGGCGTAGATTCCAAAAAGCGTATTCGTTTTTTCTGATTTTGACTTTTTTCTTAACTAGTAGTGCCAAAAAGTAATTTTTCGCCTTTTTTCTGAAAATACTGGATTTAGGAGTAATCGATGGTGCTGATTTCGAAAATGGTGATCGTTTTTTTTGATTTTGACTATTTTGCTTAACTGGTAGTGTTAAAACGTAATTTTTCGATGTATTTCACATCCATTTTGAGTAAAAACTCAAAATCAGAAAAAACGAACATCATTTCCGAAATCAGCAGCACACGTCAATCCAAGATAGAAGAAAAAATTTCCCGCCCCTTTTTGGTGATTCGTTCAAAACGAAATGATAAAAAGCGTTTTCTTATCTTTCTTCTTCCTTTTCGAGAAGAAGCAATTATTTCGGGCAAGAAAAAGTGCCGATAATTTCGCGACATTTCGTCTCTCATTTAAATCAATGAAAACGATACGAAGTTTCGAAACGGTTCAGGAAATGCGCTGGATTGACGTGCAGCATCGATAACCCCTAAATCGACTACTTTTAGAAAAATATCGAAAAATTACTTTTTAACACTACTAGTTAAGCAAAATAGTCAAAGTCAGAAAAAACGAATACGATTTTTGGAATCTACGCCATCGATTACCTTGGTGGGTCCCTTTGAACTCGGGGTCTCTTTCGATGGCTTTCTTTCATGTTTGGCCATGGGGGTGTTTGCAAGCCGTAGAATTTTTTCGTTGTTTGTGAAAGCGTTCCGCTTGTTAGACTAGGTCAGCTTTTTCCGGCAATCTCCGTGAAAAAAAATCAGCGAGTTACAAACAGACGTCCCAGCCAGCTCCGAGCTTCAACTAGTCCGTTCGTAAAGCCGCTTGAGTGATTGTGTAATGCAAGAAAAGTCAGCCTATTGCACAGTGCAAGGCACCTTTTTCTTTTTTCACAGTGCATGTTGCACAAATCACTGCAGCGACTTTACGAACGGGCTAGTACGAAAAGAGCCGTGAAGCACAAAAAAAATTTCGGTTTGTTCATAAAATGGCCCTTTTGGTGCAGAGCGTGGGCCGAATTGCCGCTTCTGATCCCTTTTTCAACGAAAGGGACATGTCCAATCTGTACAGAGTAAAATGTAAATAGCTACGATGATTGATCGAGGTACAATATAGTCCGTCCAGAAAGTCGCCGGAAACGCAATGTGAGAAAACCAAAGTTCACTTTGCACTGTGCAATCTCTTGCTTTTTGCACCGTGCAATCGGTTTTTTTCGACTGTCATTCGCACCCTGACTCTTTTCGCACAGTGCAAGCGCCAAAAATCAGTTCGGAGACTTTCCGGAAGTACTAGTAAGTGACGTGATAAAAGATAGGAAAGGAGTTTGGAGTGAGTGACGCATTGCGCCGTCCCTGTCTGGATAAATCGGAGCTGGGTCCAGATAACGGGCGGAAAAAGGGATTTCTCCGGTAACTTCCCTTGTTCGAAGTATCGCTCATTGACTAGCAAGGTCCACCCCTATTCTTTCGAGTGCACCTGGATTTTTCCACCGCATCCTCGAAGGGCGTCGCGACACTTGCGGACAACCACTTTGCTGGCAGTCGACATTTTTTGAATAGAATTACGATTTCCCTCCCGTAATCTACGTAGTACGATAGAAATTTTACATTGACAACTCCCTGGTACTGAAAAATACACAAATCTATTAAATTCATCCACTGCTTTCGAAGTTATGGGCGTTTTGTTTTCAAACAATGGTGAAAATGCCTGGATAAGCTTTCAAGCCACTTATACACATGGAAACTTAATGCGCAACATCTAATCGTCAAGCCCATAGTTTGAATTTCCAGTTGTAAACAAATTTTGGCTGATTTCATAACATGTCCACAGAATCTCCGTGGTTCTTCAAGCTGCCCGCAAAGTGGATGGCCGCAAGTGTGGGCCCGCCCTTCCAAGGTATTACACTCCTCCCAAAACCTTCCAATCACCTTATCTAAATCAATATAATCCCCACTTACTCGTCCAACAACAATTTATTAACCACCATTTTCTGATAAAACATTCAACAATAAATACGTATAGGGTCGGAAACATAAATACCAGACAAAGTTAGAGATCATACGAATAGATAAGTGATATAATATCTGATATCATGAATAAATACTCCAGAAAATGCAAGACTGCAAATGCTTGAAAATCAATTCATTTTTCATGATCACACAGCCGTTGGGCCTGTTCCAGCGCGATCAACAAGCCACGAATCGTTGAGGAAGATGACCAAAATTACACTTAAGGCCAGGACGATCAACGCCGTTACAGCGGCTTCGATGAGTAGCTGATTATCGGCTTTTAAGTAAAGCTCGAGTTCCACGGACTCCCAGCGAGATTCCATAAAGGTCGAGTAGGTTGAATTCGAGAGGTCGTAGTCTAAAAAATCACATGAAAATTTAAAAAATCAAACTTTTTCCAAGTCTTTTAGCCAAGATTCTCAAAAATATGTCTCTCCTTTCTAGAACCAGTACCACACTAAACAATTGGTCCGGTACTGCGAAGGATCTTTTACTTTGGCACCTTTTTAATGAGCCGTTCAGCTATAAAAAACCGAGGGCCGATAAGGAGATGCGGCAGGGGATCAAACTCGACTCTTTTCGAGTCAAAATCAAGCCCACAACCACTCGACTACGCAAACACACCCGGCAAAGCCCCCAATTCTCCTCTTACCTTCAATTTCAAATGCCGGGGACTTGGCTACGGTGTTATATACAGTCGTCTTGTAGCATGCGAATTCATTTTTCTCAACATTCAACTGCCAGTAGTATACGTACAACTAAAACAATATCCATCACAAATTATAAACTCAATTTTCTTAAGGTTTGCTATTTCCAAACTACTTTCTATTCAAAATTGGTTCCAATAAGATCAAATAAAACTCCCAAACTTACATTCTGATCCTTATTTTTGGCCAGACATTCATCTTCATGCTTAACATTCAACGCGCTTTGAGTGTCGCCAGTGGCTTCAATTAAGAGAGCCGAAGTAATCGCTCTGATCGTCGACACTCCACCCACTCTGATGTATGTGTTGTGGGAGTTCAGATGGTAAATTACAGTGCTATTCGTGAAGATTTTTTGGAAGAAGGAGCAGTTCCAAAACGGGTCAAAGATCAGGCAATCCACCAATTTCTCGACCTGAAATTCGATTAAATTCCCGTTTTAAGTCATGATGTATCTTACATATTGCTGGTCCACTTTGAAATCATCCGGTTTGGCCCCATCCCCACCCACATGACCCACTACAACATCTCGAATAACTTCGGCCACGTCTTTCGCCGCTTTAATTACAGTATCCCGCTTCTCTGGATGCTCATATAATTGGGTGTCAAAGAAAGAGTTCAACGTTTTCGTCGTGTATTTGTCCTTGAATGGGGATAGGAGAAGACTTGGGATCGATTTTTTCTTCAACACCGAGTAGATTGAGCTTGGAGGCAGCTGGGAATGGTCATCATCAAAGAGGGTCTCAATTTTCTTCTGGGATTTCTTCAAATTTTCGGCGAGTTGGTCCATCTGGAAGTAAAATTTTATAAAAGTCATCATGTGCAATATCCAAAAAAACTAAAAATTTAGACAAAAAAATTTAACTAGACTTCAAACTCGGGTCTCGAAACGGCTATACGACACCTTTAAACACCTCAATTTATTAATTATTGTCCATTTCTACCCAAAAAAAAAACTCCACTTTTTGCCATGGATAAGATAAAAAATCCAAAAACACATCTGAAAAACCTCCATTTCCCATCGCAAACCCCTTGCGCACCTCCAATTTAAACTTCTTGACCACATTTCCATCGGCATGGGCATAAATTTGACTTGAATCCGAGAAAAGTCCCGTCTCCACCATAACCGAAAGATCGTTCAGCACCAAACTCTTCATAAACTTCTCTGGCTTGGTAATCTTCGACTTGTTCTTGGCATTCTCTTCCAAATCATATATCCATCTTGAGCTTCCAATGTAACCAAAGGATTCTCCGTGAAAGAAAGAAAAGAGCACTTGACGCTTCGATTTCGACGCCATGGCTTCGAATTTGGGGCGATTGGAGCCAACGGCCTTGGCAGCCGAGAGTTGGGAGATCAGAGAGACCAGAACTGAGACGTCGCCACCAGTGGAATCACTGAATATACTGGCCGAGTCCATCTGAAGGCAAGTCTAATATAACATCTGATTGGAAAGGTGCAAATATTAAAAGGAAACAACAAAATCATAAATATTTACAAATCCTAGAACAAGACCACTTCGGTATAAAAAATCAACAAAAAAAATTTAATGCCAAGTATAATATAACTTTCGTTCATAAAAACAATGAATCCTTCTAAAACCGTGACTCAAACCACAACCACAAATTTTGAGCCACAACTGAAAACTTGAACCTACTCTTGCCGCAACCACCATTAAATTCGCTTTCGGAACAGCTGCATTCACTGCTGGAATCATGGAGAACACATTGTAATCATTCAACGGATCGCATATTCGGACACTAAATTGTAACATAATCACTCAAAGACTTGTCAACTCACTCTGCACTAGTCATACTAAACTTTGCCTCCTTTAATCTGCACAATCGAGCATCCCCAGCACCCAGCATAAAGCTCTGGAGTCGAGCAACACATCGTTCTCGAAATAGGCTCTGTTTTGAATTAAAGGCGTGGTAACACTAAAAATCAGAATACAAAGAAAAAATTTCCCTTACGTTTTTGTAGAGCAATTCGACTTCAGTTGAATTTCTGATGAAGAAAATTGGTTTTTCGACGTTTGTTTTGAGAAATCCACTCGCCGATAAGGCACCAAACTCATTCCAGTTTAAGGTTTCTTCTCCATACAGAGCTGGAAACAGTAAGAGTCAAATTACATCAATTTGAAAAAAGGTTTTCGCCATTTCCCGATATTATACATGACAGAAAAGGAACATTTGGTTGAAACAACTTACAATACTCCTTATTTGGGCTGATCCCATCCTCAGAAAATCCGTCAAAGGGTCGAGTACGATCTCGGACCAAGAGAATTCCAGATATACTTGTAGAAGTTACCAGTTTTGATAACAACTCACTAAAAGGAGAATAATATAATAAAAACCTTCCCAAAACATAGCAAAGCACAGCGGCCAAGCCCTTACCTTGTTAAATCATTCACAGCGACCAGTGCTATGAGCTCGCTGAATCCCCATGGCAAACTTTTAACGGCCGCCTCAATCTCTTCGTATTCCTTGATCTCAATCACGACACCAACATTTCCTTCTCTTCCAGCTAAATTCAAAATAATAATGGTGAAAATCCACTTACATTGACATCCAAATGTGTGTGTACCATTGAGCAATCGCATACACGGGTTTAGAATACTCGTTAGCTTAATGTGAATGTTATCATTGACTCTTACTGCAGACAACACTAAAAATAAAAAATTAATTATAAATTGAGCTAAAGAAAGTGTTCTTTCCGTTCGACAATTAATACAAGATCCTAAACCAAGAAGAAAACAGTATTTTAGACTTACCTGAAACAATTCCTGCCAGCATTGAAAGAAAGAATAAAGGAACTCGCATTTTCGTGGATGCTCGTCCTCAAACTCCTCCTCGACTTCCTGTTTCTCAGTTGATGACGCCACTTTGGAAAGTGTTGGTATGTGTTGAGCGCCAAATCCGAGAGTTTACTCACTCCAGAAAATAATTTTCTTTTTGTCGAGCTGCGCCCAATAAAGTGCAAACTGTGGGTGACATTTTATACGAAAATATAAGTAATTGCGATCCAGCATGCGGAAAGTCGCCAAAATATTCTGAAAGGTAGTGACTGCCATAAAGATGATATGGGGAATTCAAAATCTCGTTGTTTATAATAGCAACACCTTCTTTCAGCTTTATTTCGACAAAAAAATCCACATTTAATGCGAGGTTTACTTTATGGCTGAATTTACAACGGAATACGATTCCTCATAACAAATACATAAACGTTCTAGTGATTAAACTCTGTTATCCTCGGGATTCATTCCTTGCTGGCGTTCTGAAAGCGTTCGTCCACATTCTTCCAATTGGCCACCTTCCAGATGCTCTTCACGTAATCAGGGCGGACATTTTTGTATTGCAGGTAATAGGCATGCTCCCATACATCAATTCCAAAGAGAGGAACAAGTCCTGAAAGAAATTTTTAATAAAAAATCATTATGGATAATACACCCCGTTACGAAAGTATACCTACCCCATGGAAAATTGCAGTATCTAAGGTTTGGTAAGACATATTGAAAAACTGCTAATGCCATTCGAAAGAGCATGTCTTAAAACCTATTAACGCGTGGAATTAGCCCGTGAAAAAAAATTTTGGTCGGTTTGGCAACTATTTTAATATTTTTGGCCGTTTCAAAAGTATACCTACCCATGACGGTTTTTTGGCCAATCCTGCCCCGATTTTATTCCACAGTGTACTCTATGGTATTACGAAGTGTATCACATTCATTTCAATCGCACTTTATCCACATAGTGCTTTTGCGAGCCATCTCTGACCTTGTACATGAGGTTAATCTTAATTTCAAAAAATTTCTTGACTAGGCCGCTTCCTTGGCGGAAAAACTAAACTACCTGTTACATTATACAGACATATTTCGTTATGAATAAAAAAAACAGCTTTTTTAAGCATTATCTTCGATAAAAGGCATTTAGGTCGTTTTTTAGCGAAACAAAAACATTCATGCAGGACTTTTTTGAAATTAAGGTTAACCTCATGTACAAGGTCAGAGATGGCTCGCAAAAGCACTACGTGGGCAAAGTGCAACTGGAATGAATGTAATACACTTTGTAATACCATAGGGTACACTGTGGAATAAAATCGGGGCAGGTTTATTCAAAATCCGACCAAGATTGGCCAAAAAACCGTCAGGGGTAGGTATACTTTTGAAACGGCCAAAAATATTAAAATAGTTGCCAAATAGACCAAAATTTTTTTTCACAGGCTGATTCCATGCGTTTTTAGTCATGCTCTTTCGAATGGCTTTAGCATTTTTTCAATACCTCTTACCAAACCTTAGATACTGCAATTCTCCATGGGGTAGGTATACTTTCGTAACGGAGTGTATAATCAAACGATCACTTCAAACCGAAATATCATTTGAACTCACCGGTAGTAGGCTCGAGAGGGTCTTGGTTGGCGCAGGTAGCAATCTGAAGTCTCTTGTCGGTCTTGTTGTAGCCCAACCATCCCCACCCAGAGCCTTGGACAGCAACAGTAGCAGCCGAAAGTCGTTCTTGGAGCTTCTCAACGGATCCGAAATCACGCTTGATTTGGGCGAGCAGTTCCCCTGTTGGCTCCCCTCCATCCTTGCTCAAATTGGTCCAGAAAATACTGTGGTTAATGTGACCACCACCATTGAATTTGAGGGCGCCCTGAACACTCTTGTGTAATATTGAGATCCAATCTAGACAACAAGACCAAAAAAAACGCAACTGACCTGTAACGCAATAGCGGTCCTGAGATCGCCCTTGGCCAAAGCCTCGTGGGATTTCTCCTCAGCTTGGTTTAGGTTGTTCACATAGGTGGCATGATGTTTTTGATGGTGCAGTTGCATGATCTCGGCCGAAATCACCGGCTCCAACGCTCCGTAATCATAAGGCAGGTCGGGGAGGACATGCTTATCCCGAGTGGCACCCACCAAACGGCTGGCACTTAAAAGAGATTGTCTCATCATCATCTTGATCAAGTACAATATAAAAAACTAAACAAAACTCTTCGAATATACACTTGAAACTGAAGGCAAATACAGTAAACACTTAGATTACACCTTTCCAAAAATAATCTCCGCAACAGGCATTAAACATCCAAAATAAACTCGTGTTTACCTTTTCAAGAAGGGAGCCGAGCTTCGCAACGACAACATGACTTCGTTTCACCTGAAAACACATAAATAAATTCTGTCAACATAATCTTTGTGTTTGCGAGAGTATGGGTCGACAATTTCCCAACAGTTACTTTTTGCAAAATAAGCGAAAAAGCGGAGAGAAAAACAAGTGGCCGTTCGGAAGGTATGCACCCAAGCAAAGATCTCTTTTTTCGACAAAACGGAAAGGTAAACGAGTAGGGCTGATTGTTTCCCGAAACAACGACACTTTATGCAACATATTGCACCAAATTTCATCGGGGTTTCCAATTTTTGACCATCGAAAATAAGCGTTTTGAAAGGATCAGAAAATAGTGGAGTCTTTCTGAAAATCGACCAAAAAACATCGAAAAGATAAACAATCTGGGAAGAGCAAACAACAATTTAGCAACTCAGATGCCTCTGCTCATCGAGCCTAAGATTTTCGCCATTTTTTGCCGTAAAATAGGGAAGACAAGCTAAAGCCAATTGCAGCATCAGAAATTTGTATGCAAAAAAATAATTAACACACTCAAATTCAACCAATGAACTGCTAAAATACGATAAACCTGGTTACGTTGCATAATAATAATCGTAATCCCGAAAAAACCTCCGAATCGGACCCATTTCTTCGCCTTTCCCATCAAAAAAAACAAAATCTTATTGTTTTTTGATAAAAACAATACGTTATCAAAAACTGGGTCACGATAGAAGCTAGTGACTGTTCAGCTTTCGTAATCCCATCTAACAAACATCTAGGTTGTTGTCTTTTAGCAGGCTGTTTACTCGTTTCCTTCTATTATAATTTTTTGGCGTTTCGTTACAATTTGATCGTTGCGAAGTGTCACAATTGATGGAATAAAAATATTTTTGGGGGTTTTATGGCCAAAGCTGATCGAGGGCGAGAAGCTTGACCAATGTTGTCGGTACGGTCATTATTTGCGACCACGACATGGTAAGAATTTAGAGAATTAATTTTGTTTTGAATTGCTGTTCAGTTCAAGTTAATTTAATTTTTTTAAGCCGTTGTCGAGCCGTTTCTGCTAGCAGATGGAAATCAAATGAGGCTACAAGTAATGAAGAGAAACCTAGTGATGTAAAACCTGCAGAGGAGAAACCAGTGTAAGATGCTTTCGCCGTTTTTTTTTGGGTTTAGGTATTTACATCAAGTTGACTTAAACTGTTAAGCATGTTTATGAAGACGAGAGAGATGTTTCTCTCTTTGTACGGTTGCAAAGATCACGATCTTCGTTCTGAATGATGTATTTTTTAGACACTACGATCCAAAGTCGATTCCAAAGCCATTTACTCACAGACTTCGACATGATCCTCTAAATTTTCCACCTCCACTTGAAAAATTTGTGGTGAGTACTGTTTGAAGTACCAAATTATGAGTTCATATCTGATATTTAATCTAACTTGCACTTTCAGGAACCCGGAATGGCCGACTTCTCATATAATCGACTGTATGACTACTACAAGATCGGAGAAATCATTGAAAGCCTGCCAACAATTGAAGAGAAGATTGCTTTTGCCAACCCATATGAGCGTCCATGGAAGAGGGATGAACAGAAGTGGCATCGGTTAGTTCTATTTGCTTTGTTCTTCTTATTTTTAGATTGGATTTATAGAAGCCGAGTTCAATTTGAAACCGATTTAAGCTTAATGTCTGTTACTAAAATTTTTTTCAGGGAGTTTATGAGAGGTCTGAGTGCACCAAGAAAGGCTTATAACCTCAATAGCATTCCTCAATACTTTGATGTCCTCGATTTTTACGGATTTATCACAAAAACAGCCCTTTTAAAAAGCGGAATTGATGGATATTACAAGGATCTTCATCTCCCAACGAGTCGGTTTGAACAGAGAGCCAAGAGTTCCATTTTGGCTGTAATGAACGAAGAAAACACAGAGAAGTTTGATGATCTATCAGAGGCAGCGATTGATCGGCTTTTGAGGAGACTTCTGGATGATGCACTGGCTTCTTTGCCCGAAAAGAAACCCAAATTTGCTGAACTAAGGGCAAGTCATTATCCATTATGGTTTTTTGGGATTTATCAGAGATGCTAAGCCTTGTATGACCAAAATATTATTAGTTTAAAAACCTTATTCATGTTCAGGTATCTCATCATCCGCGATGTGAATCTTTCTGGATTAAAGCCGGTTTTGGTCACTTGTATGCCTACAAATTTGTCGATGAGGTCATTACGAATAGGAGGCACATGAAAAAGATTGTTGGCGATCATCGGTAAGAATCAAATTATTTTCGTCATGGATAATGTAAAAAATAATTTTTTTAATGAATATTTTTCTAGGCAGAAGCTGGGAGAGTTAGCCTTTACTCATCGAGACAAATTCGCCGCAAATGTTCGATCGAAGAATGCGCTGCCACCACTTTTGTCATCTGTACCATCAGAAGATGAGATAATTCCGTTGTACAAACTGAAAGACGCACTGCTACCTAGAATGTACAGTCTCCACCCGGACGCGGAGCCTCTGTGGCAGGTCCCTAACTATGAACCAGACTCTGGTAGGTATTTTTTTATTTTTTATGTTGCTCATTTTTAGGCGAAACTCATCGATTGGCAAAGGTGGCCATAAAGAGTACGGTCGGTCTGAAAGATCGCTTCAAACACTGGAATATGGATGAAGACGAAGAGGTGGAGACTCGGGAAGAGTTGTACAAATCCATGGCCATTGCAAGTTTGTTCAATTGGAATAATGGCCAAGCCCATTGTCACGGGTTTACTCAATATAATGACGTCACCAGGCCATTCACCTCTCAATTAATACTCTCAAATGGCCAAGAATTTGCGTTCTCGGTGGGACAATTGAACACTCTCGCCTTCAACGTGGAATGCACTGGATTCGTGAATGAGAAATTCAATTATGTTGCGGTTAATCCGTCGGCGAAGTTGTTTGATATCCTAGAACAAGGAGAATTCAAATTTAGGGATGAAGAGGGCAAACTGAAGTCGGGATTGAACCCGAATGTCCTTCAGAGCTTCTTGAGGACTCTTTGTGTCTAGACTTTGCATTGATTAGGGAGGTTTTATCTTTAGAAATTGTTAATTGTTATTTTTGGACAAATAAATCGTTGAAAATTGAAAAATCTTGGGTTTTTTGATGATTTTTTGGGTTGATTGCGAAGGTGAAGGACAAAAAATGGATTGAAAACGACTAGGGGATGTAACTATGATCTGATTTTGAGGATTTGAGAGTGTTTGCTATGTCATCCATCTCCAATTTTATGTGTGTTTACCAAGTGTAAGATCGCAACTTCGCAAAGAGTAGGAAGTTGAAACATTTGGCTACTACAACGAGGCTGATGTTTCTTCGATTTCCACGACTTTTCGGCCCTCAATTTTTCGGTTATCACATTTTTCCATCAAGACTTCCAATAAAGTATCATGGATAATATAAAATTTATGTTGATATCCGTCTATTCCACCATTATCCGCTATTATCTCACGGGTGGTACGGAACTCTCTGGGAAAATCAATGAACGATTTTAGGACTGGTTTTTGGCATTTCGTCGCACAGCGAATCTCCATCCAAAAATTAATTTTTCTCTCCGTTGCCGACTAGCATTACACCTTTGATTTTCGCATGTTACACTCGTTGTTCTTGAGGGATTTTGTGAGAATATTACTAGTCAAGTCTGTAGAAGGCTATTGGCACCAAGAATTGCTGGTTTTGCGGGAGTTTTACACCAGTTTCAGCGATAATAATCATTTCGGTTCCTTAGGCAATAACAACGTAAAAATGCCGTTTTACCTCGCGAAAACTGCATTACAACTTCTCACTGTTGTCTAAACGTCTAAGCACGCACGGTTCCCCTTCGCCGCCACTTTACACCAACTTTTCGGTCGATTTCCCGCTGATTGTGCCATCGGAGAGAGAGTTGACCCGAGCCCAGGAAATGGGTCAAGTCAGTCCCATGCGTCTCTTTGTTATGTAATCATGGCGGATTCGAGTTGGTTTGCCAATTCCAACGTAGGCTAGCGATTGGCGCGTCAGTAATGACAGAAAATCTTACCGAAGGAATTCATGTTCAGATGATATAAACTTGGCGTTACGTTCGTCGGAGGGGTTTGAAGGACATAAATCATGAAAGCGAGGGATTACTTCTTTCGTAGGGAATGTCAACAAATTTGGAAGTAACTGGGATTGTAAACATAAAGAGCTCTCGGACAGATTTCGGCACCTTAACTTTGGTTTAGACCTCCTTGCAACTGTTGTTGAAAAAAATTTGTAGTTTTGGAGTCTAAAAAGGGTTATGAAAATTTGGCAAATACTTTCCTGGACATGCGGTTACTATTAGGAAAATTTTACGGTATTATCTCTACAAATCAGAGATTAAAGTACTTTTTTATATTATTAGGTGTCGAATATTCAAATCAGATAATGCCGCATATTTTACTCGGGTTTATATGTCTTTCTTTGGGTCAAATTACAATAGATGGCCTATTTATTCGGATTAGAAATGTGTTTCCGATTTTGGCAATGTTATGGGCGGGCTTGGCTTATCTTACTTTAGAGGATGACTAAAGATAAAAACTGGATGGCTTAGACGTTCATATAAATTTCTTTGGCCCTCTCTGTAGTCTTTACAGTATATTTTGCCATTTTATGAACAAAAATATATGCATTCCCCCAAATTTCCCGCATTTTTTGGAATTTCCCGCCAATTTCAAGGTCCTGTAAATCGAAGAAGTCGAATTTTGGTGTCCGCCTCTTCTAAAATGTGGGCAATATCCTTTTGGCACAATCCAGAGCCATCTGCCTGTACACACTTTTCATTTCGTACCTTAATTTTGCGTCCACTCCTTATTAAAACGGGTAATTTTTTGGGCCGTTCTGTTTGCTCTCCTTTCCTCATAAATTATATCCCAAGGCCATACGTGTGTGCGTACGCGATTCCGGTTTGTTTTGCGACGAAACGCGGGAAAAAAAGTTGGGCGGCGTTTTTGAAGGGCTCCCTGAAAGGAGGGTTGGGACGAATCGCCACGGATTTTATTGATTTTTTGGTCTCACCGCGAATGTTTGCAAATCTAGTTTTTTATTCGAGGTTCTACTTTTTGCCGAGTTTGTGATTCGCTTACGAAGTTTGTACCACTGTTGCGATGATCTTGTAGTGTTTTTCAATTATTAAATTATTTTAGATACAAAAATCCAAGAATTTTTGATAGCATAGTAATATCTTACCGAATTTGGTGTTAATATAGTATGTCGAACACATCAACGATGTCCACAGAGATGTCGGATGATGAACCAAATGTAAGTTCAATTTTTATGTATATTTTTGAAGTTTTAGATACCTTCATCTAACCTTCATCTAGTATGATATAAAAAATTGCGATGATCTCATTTTTCTTATAGTTTATGGAGGGGAATATGACATCTAGAGAGTTCATGATTACATTTCATCCGTTTTCAGGAACCTTATTCCGGTAAAAGGTGCAAAATTGTCCATCAGATCCTTCAGATGCCGTTGGTGAAGAGCAAAGCGAGCAGCGGCTTTAAAAACTATTGCAAGAGGATAAATGAGGGCCAAATCAAACTTCCAGTCGAGTAAGCATTTTTTATTAATAAAACAAACAAGTTTTTTTTATTTTTTGTGTAATAATTTTATATTATACATGACAATTTTGCTAAAAAATGAAGATAATTGATGATTTAAACGTTTTAACAGTTGCTTTACCCTTGGAATATTAATTTTCCAACTATTTCAGAGCTAAATGCAAGTCGAACAGTGACAAAGAGCTTCGTAAATTGGAAGTTTTATCAGTTCTGAGGTCTAAAGTAAGTTAATTTTGAGATTTTTTTTTAATTTTAAGGTGTGAGACTGCAGAATGTGATGTTAGTAAGCTCTGTTATAACCAATTTGAATTTATGGGATGTTTTATAGCACGAATTTACACCTATTTTCAGTGGAATTCGATGCCTTTTACCAGCCGGGTCAAGTTCGAATCCGAAGAATCCCCGGAAATCACGGATTTTCCCCTTGTTTTTGACTGCAAGCCTGTGGATAGCAGCTATATACCCTGTATTCTCTGCACTCATAATGATCTAAGGTTTACAAATTCCGATACTTTGATGGTACGTTAAAATTTCTCTTTATTTTATCTGAATTTAGGTACATTTGAATGAAAAGCACGTCCCAGAAGCCCTCTATGTTTGTTACTGTTGCTATAGGGGCTTCTTCGACCATGGGTCGTACAGAGAACACACCAAGGTGCATGATGGATTCAAGCTTCAGAACAAAAATTCAGTCTTGCTGATTATTTGTAGTGGTTGCGGAGCAGAATTTGCGGCAAAACCAGATGAAGATAGGCGATTTGGAGAGGAATATGTAAAGTTTATGGTGAGATGTTTGATTTGGAATATGTTTTGAGCAGAATTGAAACTATTTTGCCGGGTTGTGATTATAAATTATATTATTTTAGCTCCATCATTCCCGAGCTAATCTGAGGTTGATAAAAATCCATTACAATGACAAGATAACCCCATCTGTGTCAACGTTCTGGCCCAGTAATGAGATTGGCAGAATCAAAACCAAAGTGAAATCGCAAGTTTAATATTAAATTTTTGATTATATTACTTTAGGTTCAAGGTTGATGGCCAAGCCGAAATTTTAATTGAAGATAATTTGAAGAGAATGAGCCTGCTGAGAGCTTTAGATGTTCCAAACAAGAATCCGAAGAAAGCTTTTCAGAAAGGGCTAAAAGTTTTAAATGGAGAAGATAGCAAGGCAAGTGCAATATAAAATTTTGTTTGGATTTGTTAATTTTTTGTCTTAATACGAGCTAAGAGGTTTAGAGATTATATTTTAATAACTTGGCTAAATTTTTTTAGCTGAACGGAACTTATGACGAAAAACAGATCTTCTCCATGGATAATATCGATCTTTTGAAGGAATACTCGGTCAAATTAAAGTCCCATAATGTGGAAAGGAATGGGCAGCTCCATGATACTGTTAGCTTTGAGATCTCATCGAATAACGGGTATTTTTCTCATGGTTTGGAGCTAGATGGACTTAATTTGACTCAAGAGTAAGTGCAATACACTTTTTTTAAATGCTGTCATAAAAATTGTTTTAAATGGAGTATAGTGATATACATGGTCTATATTTGCAGTTTATACCAATGCCGGCGCTGTTGTTACCTCGATTTTGAGGAGAAATCTTTTGCCCAACATCAAGAAGAGTGCATGCCGAAGGTGAAAAGACACTCCTCCTTCTTCAAAATCCACTCAAAATATCAGAATTCGAATTCGCCGATACCTTGTTTCAAATGCAAAACCAAACACTGCTCGGTTCAAGGGCTGGCCACACATTTCGCCGTCAAACATCAGGTCCAAATCACGGTCAAACCCCATAGCTGTAAGTGAAAATACTCGAAAAATTGGCTCGTTTTTGTAGATTCAGTCGACGCGACATACAAAATTCAGATGGATCGGGTGAAAAGGACGGTTTTTGATCAAGAATTAGATGTGATGATCAGCGAAAGTAAGTGTAATATAAATTTTGAATCTTTTCCTCGAGATTTTTGGATAAACTAATGTCCAATCACATTTTTAGTCTTGATGAGCAAAGAAAACGACACCCCGGTGCGAACGCCGGCGCCAGTGACCTCCTCCAGCCCCACCAATAGGCTCTTCCGAACCCCGTTCATCTTCCGAAAACGGCGACTCAACCGATTGCCCCAGGTCCCCATGATTGTTATATCGCCGGAGACCACGAGTGAGGCCGGAACCAAGACCAGAAGACGCACGCAGAAGTCGAATTTGTCCCCGAATCCTCCCGATTCGTCAAGAACCCCGAGTACCGGAGGTTCGGAGAAGAAGAAACTCCTGAAAAAGGTGGCCGAACCGACGCCAAAGAAGAAGAAAGACACCGAGGAACAGGATGAACTGGAAATACAAATGGACCAGATCATCGAGAAAATCATGGCCGAACACAAGGAGAAAACAGAGGATGCCAATAACAAGCTGATGGAGATGGTGGAAATCGAGAAACGGAAGATCTTGGAGGCGGAAAAGAGGAAGGAATGCGAGATTGAGATATTGGAAATGGTAGGTGGAGGATGTTGGAAGGGAATTGGAGAGATTTTAGAGGTGGGAAAAGAGAAATGGACGATTTTTAGATGGAAACGGAAAAAAATTCGAAATTTTTTGCAGGTACAGTGGGGGACCTGATCCAGTGGCAAAAAACGTACCATTTTGCATCCGGGAAGCATCAAAAATGTATCAAAATACCTCCCTCTCCAAGTGAAAAAAAACTCCGACCTTCAAAACGAAGTTTTTTCACTTGGATAGGGAAGCATTTTGCCATATTTTTGATACTTCCCGGATGCGAAATGGTACTGTATGCCACTAGATCAGGTCTGTCACTGTATTTACAAATGATCTTGTTTTTGTAAATACAAATTTGGACCGAAATTTTGCTGTTGAAGAGGAAAACCGAGGGTTCGAACAAATTTTTGATGGTTACAATGTCGGACCTGATCCAGTGGCAAAACACGTACCATTTTGCATCCGGGAAGTTTCAAAAAATGTAGCAAAATGCCTCAATCGCTCAAAAAAAAAAACTCCGTTTTGAAGAGCGCCCTTTCCCTCGCAAAAGGAGTGTTTGAAATCGGAGTTTTTTCGCTTGGAGAGGGAAGCATTTTGCCACATTTTTGATACTTCCCGGATGCATAAAGAGGTACGTTTTTACCTCTAGATCAGGTCTGTCACTGTATTTACAAAATATTTTGTAAATTACTGTATACGCCCTAAACTTGTAAGAATTTGCTATCAAAAAAAAGAAGAGCTCTTACTCTGACTATTTCAGCCCAAAACTCCAACTCCAACCCAAGAAGATGAGGACCTTGAGGCGTCGGAAATCATCGAATGCACTGCCGTCGGCCCTCCCCCCGATGCCTATGATTGTTTGATGTGTGGCTCAGAGCAGAAGGGACATATCTCCTTCATCTCCCACATGGTCTCGCATCCAGAGGTCTTCAATTGTTGCCCGATTTGCTCGTCGAATAATATCCCGACCAGCATGGACAACGTCCTCCAATTCTTTGACCATCTGATCTCAAATCATCTGATTCAATCCCCGAATGGCATAAAATGCCCGACCTGTGAGCAGATCTGTGGAAAGGACGTGAGGGATCGGAGAAGCATTCGAGTCGCCATATCTCATGTGCTCTATGAATGCACAAGACCGAAGCAGTGCATGCTGTGTGCATGCACGACGGTCGGAGCGAAGAGAATGGTCGAAACACACAAAATGCATCGTACAAAGGAGCATAAGAAGGTTTATAATAGGTAGGGAGAGATGAGTAAAAAATTTTGAGTAGGTGTCTAGTGTAATATCGGGAGACCTAGAACAAAGGTGCAAATGGGCATAAAAGGTAATAAAAATGAAAAAAGAAAGGCTTTGGAGGCAAAATACGACAACTTCTTGATCAAAATTTCCCAAAACAAGATTCTGTAAGAAGAGAAACACTTGACCCATTTTTTACATTTTGAGTAAAGTCTTCCTCTCTTGCTCAAAATCGATGCAATCGATCGCAAATTGACGATGACATCTTTCTGTCATAATTTGATGTCGCGGCATGTTTTTGTAGACTGTTTGTGGACAAGATTTTTTTTTTTATCTTGATCATGGATAACATTGTCAATTTGTCGAAGGTGCCTTCAAAGAAACGCAATTTTTTGTTGCCGGTTTTTACGCAACGGCTGTTTTTTGTCTGTTGAAGGTTAGCGTCGTTGCAATTTGGCATTATGTGCATCTTTTTTGAGCTCTACCACTGATATTACACTAGACGTCGAGTTGATGATTTAATATTTTTTGGACGTGATGCTTGCTGTAATGCCTTGAATGTAATCCTGATGTGTTTCAGATTCTATTGCAGTCGATGTATGCTGGGAATGCACAACATTGACCAGTACAAGGTCCACAAGTGCAGTTCGGTTGCTTTTCGTTGTGCCTGCGATCCCTGGGTGGAGTTCAAAGATCAGCCGGCCGCCTCTTATCACATGGCCAAGGCGACGGACTCGCGGAAACACAATCTTCTCCCCACCATGGCCCAATCGGACCTCCGAGTGATCGTTCACAACAAACCCCCCGCGGATTCGAAGAGACCCAGCAGAAATGAGGTCTGGGACTTCCTCAAAAAGTACGACTTCCTCCGAAAACCCAACAAACAGAACGCACAGGACCAGAAGAACTCGGAACAGATCAGTCCCACCATCACTGTAAAAGAACAAACCGAAGATTCGGAGGAAATTATTTTGGAAAAAGAGCAAAAGCCCGAAGAAAACCCCCAAAAAGTGGTGGATAAGATCCCGGAGAAGAAGAAGGATACCACAGAGAAGATAAAGGAGATCAAGAAGAAGGTCAGGGAGCCATCTCCACCCATTGAAACCACCAGCGACGAAAATAAGAGCCAAGAAAAAAGGGAGTCCGCTTCGCAAGAAAGAAAAGCCCCGAAAAGAAGAAGAACCCAGCCGAAAACAGTAGAATCAGATGAGCCGGACCTACGAAAACGACGCTACACTCATCAGCAATTGGAACAAGTCATGCTGTTCAATCAGAGATCCCGAAACATGTGCAAATTACATGTGAAAGAGAAGGCGCAGGAGCTGGGCGTGGAAGATGAGGGTGTCATTGATGTGATGGAGGATATTGTGGCCTCGGTCTGCGACAAATTCACCGCTGGCGCGTCGAGTAAGCCCCGATTTTTTGAGTGGTTTATATTATTTTAGGTAGTACTATCAGAATTTTTATTTTTTTCGGGGATTATTGGTAGAAGATTGGTGTAAAATGATGTCGAAAAAAGAATAGAGAGCTTATTGAATAATTTTGCAGGTCTACCATGGCATGGAAAACGGCTGGGACAACTGAAAACACAAGCAAAGAGGAAATTGACCCCTCTGGACATGAATTCACTTTTTAAAGAGCCGCTGCCGGTCGCTACACCGCCCTCGGGCAAGAAATACAAGTGTATCTACAACGACAGACCCGACTGCAACGAAATCCGCGACAATTTCGCGGAGATGCGCGAGCATTTCCAACGAGAACATGGCCTTTATGCAAGGGTAGGGTGTGTAAAGTATAACCCCGATTTTTAGCATCCCACCCCGCTTGATACGGACGTCTGGCTGTGCCCCATGTGTATGTCCATCTTCACGCACGAAGCGGACCTCGAGGTTCATCTGAAGAGCCACAATCACAATTTCCGATGGTGCATTTATTGCACGTTGATGTGCAAGTCCGAAGATGAGTATGAGTTGCATAGTCTTGCCCATAAATCGAAGAAGGTGGCACTAATTTGCACTGAACACATGAATGCGTTTGATAATGTGAGTTTCGGGGGTGGTTTTGGATGGTTTTGAGGGAAATCAGGTTTTCGTGCCGGGACCAAATTCGATGCTGGATAAGATTGGAAATTTGTTTGAATCTCGGCTTCTGAAGATTTTGTGAAGGATAAAATGTTGAATTTTCAGCCATTCAACTACTTTGTGCACCTGGAAACACATGGGCAACGAGTCCTCAAGTTCTGCAAAATGTGCGGCTTTGCCAACAGCTCGGTGAGAGAGGTGATGAGGCACATTGACAAGTGCACCCAGACCCGATTCCAACTGGGCGAACAATTGACCCGAGCGCGAATGGCATTGGGCTACTGTATCGCCAGCTCGGCCTTCATCCGTCGACCTTTGAGAACGGAGTTCCTCCAGAAAGTAATGTCAGAAAAGGTGAAATTTGCGAAGATGATGAAGTGCGACCATTCATTTGCCCTGTTCGCTCAAGGCGGACCAGTTCTAACTTGCATTCATTGCAGTTGCCCTGTAAGTGGTAATTTTTTCACAAAAATTTGGGGGTTTTGAAGAATTTGCGGGCTTTTAAGGATGAATAAGGTCGGAAATAGGATGATTTGACGAGAATAGAGTGTGGGAGACTGACTTTTCAGTTTTGTGTTCTAAAAATAGTAATATCGGAGATTTTTTTTGTAAAATTTGTAATGTAATATATTTTTAGATTTCGGATCTTGAATGGTGCAAGCGGTACACAGCCGAGGCCTTGGAGCTGAGTAAATCTCGAATTGTAAGTTTAACTTTCCAGAATTTAGAATTTTATGCCTATAATTGCTGAAAAATTAGTTATCTTTTTTTCAGAAGACGGTCCTCAATGTAAACCAACAAACTGGGAATCCGGACGAATTGGGGAACGATATAAGAGTAATTCCTCGAGACCCGGGCGAAATCAAGACAGGATTCCTGATTCAGCAATGCCCCCTCAGCCTGGACAACACGGTACTCCCATCGACATCCGGAACTCAACGAAATGTAAGGTGCACAACGGATTCGGAAGCGATCTGGCAAAGAAGATGCAAGGAAGAGCCTCAAGAATCAGTCATAACTCTTGAGGATGACGATGAACTCATGGTTATAGCGGAGACCCCAAAAAGAGCGCCAAAACGATCGTCGAGTGTGAAGTTGGTGGCACCTCAAAAAGCGGGCACTTCGAAAAGGGATGTGATCATGAATTCGATGAATAAAATGAGTGTGAAACCAGTGTACAGACAGCCGGAGAGGCAGAATGTGAAGTTGATTCCAGTACAAGTAAGTTGAGTTTGAAATTTGAGACTTTTTGCACTGTGCGAAAAATTTGGGATTTTTGCACTGTGCGGAGAAATTAAAAAATTCTGCACTGTGCAGGAAAAAATAGAGGGTGGCATAAAAATTTTTGTAGGAGTTCCTAGTAAACTGAGAGGTGTTTAGAAAGCAGTTATGCAATTTATAGCCTACGGGCAAATCAGATAATGCATGACTAGAAGTTTGCACAGTGCAGATTTTCGAATGCCCATAATGCCCAGTATTATGAGCGGGACAACCGAAACTATATATTTCCTACTGCTTACTAACACTCTAAATATTCCGAATTTCAGTTCCAACCCGGTCGCATGTACCCGCTCCCCCACAATCATCCCCAATTCCATGTGCGCACGGTGCCGCGCTCCCAGGTCGTCGTAAATCCGGCCTCGTATGCGCCGTATGCCGCCAATCCCCGCGCCCATCCCATCCAACTCCAACCCAATAGTCCGGTCATTTATCGCACCAATCAGCAGCAGAATTGGACGGTGACCCATCGGCCCGGCAACATTCCCGCCTCCACCCCTTCCACCTCGAGACAAAGCCAATCCCCGTGGAGACAGATGTAATATAAAGAAGGAAATGGATGTAAATAGAGGCATCAGACATGGCAGCATTCAATGAAGTGTACATAATGGTCTCTCACCCTCATTTTTGCTCAAAATTCGATGTTTTAGGGGATAAATTATATTATTCACGAGCTTTCTTCAATCTTTGGTTATATCTTGTTATTGTTGACTCTTTATCTACTCTCAAAACTCATTTTGTACTCAATATTGTAGTTTTCTACTCCGCCTAGGAATTGTTTTTCATTGTTAATTTTTCCAGTAAAACTTTAATAAAAATTTGAGATTTTTTGAAATTTTGGAAAATTTATGTCAAAAAATAGATGTAAATGAAACAGAATAAGAAGTGGTCAAGTTTATACAGAACTGTGAGAGAAATTACAGTGGATTTGAGGGCTCAGGGAAGACGAGGAATCAGATGAACCGGAGATTCGGGAACGACTCAAATTACTCTCAGCCTCGAGCAAACTGAAAATAAACACTTGTTATCAATCTACAGAGAAGTAATTAGCCCTAGGCAGGTGTTGAGCAACTTACCGCAGGGGCATTACAGTAATCCGACTATTCTCTTCCTTCTCCTTCAACACCTCCAAACTCTCGACGGAATCCAGTTTGTGGAACTTGCTGGGGACGTAATTGTGAATATGATCCTCCTTCTCTTCCTCTTGATCAATGGATTCCTCACCATCTTGCGGATGACCCACAAATTTCACACTTGCCAACAGTGATATCGCGCCGATCCCATAAAACATGGCGATGAAGAGCTAAAAATAGAAAATGTAAATAAAATACGAGGGTAAGAGCCTTACTAATGTGAGAGAATCCTCGCCAAGCATGACTGGTTTAATCAGTAGCACATTCGAAATGAATTCTTACTGTAATTTGCGCGATCATAGTGTGACTTGACCCAAACGTGGAACACTTGACACAAACAGAAATTTCGTTTATTTTCGGAGAATTTTGGTGCACAATTGCAAGAAGAACATCCAGAAGCCCGATAACGATGGTAAGTTTCTATTTTATCTTATTTTTCCTGCCATTTACCCACTTTTTGTATTATACTATCCATGAAAAATTTAGAACCAACAGAACTATGGGATGCCGCAAGGAAACCAAAATTACATGCAACAGCAACAGATGGTAAGTTAATTCGCTTCGTTTCTTATGATTTTAGTACCAACAACAGCAGCAAAATCAGATGAATATGCATGGTCAACCTCACATGCAACAGCAAGGTTTTTATATGGATCAGAACCCGCAACAACAGATGATGCAGCAACATGGCTCCTATCAAGGTCAGGTTCAGGGATCACAACAAATGGGGATGCATAATATCACTCAACCTTCTCCGGGGAACTTCCCCAGTCATGGTGGACATATGGGGCAACAAATGATGGGACAAGGAGGAATGTCTGGGCAAGGGATGGGTCAAGGAGGTATGCCAGGTCAGGGAATGGGTCAAGGAGGAAATATGGGAGGCCAAGGAGGTGGAATGGGAACTCAAGGAGGCGGAATGGGAGGTCCTGGGAGTATGGGACAAGGTGGAGGAATGGGAGGTCCAAGTGGGATGTCGCAAGGTGGAATGCAGGGTCAAGGAGGGATGTCTGGCCATAGTATGGGACAAGGACCCATTTCGGCCCAGAATATGAGCCAAGGATCTATTTCTAGTCAAGGAATGGGACAAGGATCGATGCCAACGCAATCCATGGGTCAAGATGGAAGAATGGGAAGTCAAGGTGGATTATCGACTCAAGGGATGGGTCCAATGTCAAGTCAGCCGATGTCTCACTCCTCCCAACCCATGTCTCACCCTCCTCAGCCCATGTCGCACTCATCTCAACCTATGTCCCATTCAGGACAGACTCCTTTTGGCTCTCAACATCAGCCCAATACCCCGCAAATGCAACAGCCTCAATCCCATATGAGTATGCCTCAGCCTTCTCCCCAACAATATCCGCAACAACATTCGGTGGGCTCGTTTCATAATCCAAATAGTATTCCTCCGAATGTTCAACCACATACTCCACAGAATCAACTTCAGACGCCCCAACGAGACGCCAGGTTTACCTCGCCGGCTTCTGTGACCCAAAGATCACCGTTTCCCCCACCCTCAAGTCAGCCTCAAATCTCAAGTCAGATGTCTTATCAAGTCCCACAAACCCCGCAAATGCAGAATCTCCAAACTCAACCACCATCCCAGCCACCGCAGTCGCATCCTCAAACGGCGCCGAGAGTAGCCCAGCCTCAGCAGCCTCCAACTCCAGCATTTCCCATCAATTTGTTTGAGGCGAACAAGTTGCTGATCGCAAAAGAGCTGAGACGAGCGATTTTTGAAGTGAGTTCAATATTCCTTTTGTTTTGACTTGAAATTTAGGTTTTTTTCACCTGATTATTGAGAAGATTTTAGGTCACAGCCAAAGCCGAAGTCCTGTTGTCATCAAAATTCTGCTCGGACCCATTGCCCAACCAAAACGTTTTATCGAATGTTAGTCTGTCGGAATCCAATCCAAGGTCGGTTCAACCAGCCTCAAATGGAGCCAAAGACTCCCCAACCAAAGCTCAGAAGATACCGGTGACAGAAGAGGAGTTCAAAGCCGCCAAGGAGATGTTTTTGGCTGCTATCTCGGTATTTTTGAGTGTCTGCGATGATATCGAGAGGAACTATGTGAGTTTTTTTTTCAATTTTATTTGCCTAAATTTAGGGTAGAATATTATCAGAGCTTATGTTTTGAGTTGGGACCGTTATTAGCGAATTTTGAACATATAATTCTGATTATATTATACTAGACATTAGTCAACAAAATTATTTTAGTTGATCCTCATCGAAGCCGAAAAGGAATTGAACAGATTTGAGCAGCTAGTAAAGACGCCATCGACCGATTCTCTTGCCAAGAACCTTGTACAGCCATTGGAAGTTATAGCCGAGGATCGGCGGGCTGTTCAAAGATCAGTCGAAGACATGTGTAAATTAGTCGAATTGGTGCGAACCTGTGAAATCCCGAGTAGAAATTGTTAATTATTCTTTATAAATCGCTTTGTAACAGCGTTTATTGTATTTATAACTTCATTTGTTGAAATTTTCAAAAATAGATCTATAATTAACTTGACGTATATAGTGAAGGATAATATTGGATATTTTTGAAGTTTTAAAATGGGCAGCGAAGCTTGCACGAGTAACCATTGAACCCAAAATGACGTGCTTTCGTTATTCGGTCATCTTTTTTACCGCTTTTGTTATATCATCTTTCCTGCTTCCGGTTCCCACCACGAAAACTACTGCCTTGCCAAACGTCACTTCACGTGAAAATTTTTTCTTGTTTTATCGCCAGGAGCTCCTGGCGGGAGCGTTATTGACGTAGTGGGGAACTTTAGTTGAATCCCCACCATAATTTGACATTTTTTGGGCGTGTATTACTGACCTATTTTAATATTAAAATCGCTGTTGAAAGATCGTCTTTTTATCTCCCAGAACAGTTACTTATCATGCCCATAATTAATCAGCCTGTGGCTGTTGACCTCGAGAGAACTCCTTATCAGGGGGTTTTGAAATTGTGGGTAGTTTCATCGGAAACTTGGATTTTTTTTGGTAACTGTGTTTATCATGGATAAGATCTCTCGAATTGAGGTGCAAGGGGTCTAAAAAGGTTTCAGAACTGTTCACAAAGGGTCGATGAAGCATTTGAGAGTTAAAAGAGTTGTTTCGCGAGGAACTATTGAAATCGTTTCACCTTTTTTTGTTTAGACTTCCACCCGATATTAGACTTGATCTTTACTGTAATACATTTCGTTGTTTTTCTTAGTATTTCCGTTTGAAATGGAGACAGAAGTTATTGCAGAGGTGTGTTTACGGATTGGTGCGTGTTTACGATGAAATTCCGGCTAAAATCCTCGTTTTTCGTCTTATCCATTTTGATCCGAAAATTTCGATCTTCGACCCCTATAATAATATCCAAAGCTTCTCTTATTGATCCATAATTGTTTTAGGGCCCTTATTTTACCTTTTGCGCGCCAACACCTCTCGAGTTTTGCCCGGGACGCCGAAAAAAATCGATTTTAGTCAAGTCTAATATCTGACGCCTAATTGAATGTTGGCTTTTTAATGGCGGAGTCTTGGGGGCTTGCGCGGTTGATGAAAGTCCGACGAATTCTTCATGCAATGTTTCCCCAGCGGCGGATTTGTGTGCCCATGAATGGAGATGGAGGGGGTCTCTTTTGGCCGCCTCAGGGCGAGGCCGAAAAGAGGCCACGGCTTTCTCGAATCGATAGACCTGACGTTGTTTTTTGCGGCCACGGAAATCCGTTGACTTGCAAACAATTGCCATTTTTTAGTCGAGTATTTGTTGCTTAAAATACGGGTTTCTTTTTTGGATTCCCGAAGTACAATATAAACGTTTTGGATCGGAAATGAAAATCCCTTTCAGGAATCTCATTATCATATTGCAGGGGCCATGTGACATGCTTTTCTCTTTATTACGACCAATTTTGGGGCTTGTCCCGCGTTTCTTTTATATTATACTGGATGGACATTCGGGAAATTCGCGATTTTGAACGAGCTAGTATCGGAATTAACCGGAAAATAATTGCAGAAGATGTCATACGCCTACCTGTTCAAGTATATCATCATCGGAGACACTGGAGTCGGAAAGTCTTGCCTTTTATTACAGTTTACCGACAAGAGATTTCAACCTGTCCATGACTTGACCATTGGTATGTTCTTTTAAATTTTGTGTTGTATTTAGGTTGAGAAATTCATTGCAAGTGTGAATCAACTCGTCTTTCAAGAAATGTTTGATTAAATAAGTTCTTATACCACAAATTAAATTATCCATGTTACAGGTGTGGAATTTGGTGCCCGTATGATCACTATTGATGGTAAACAAATAAAACTCCAAATATGGGACACTGCTGGCCAGGAGTCTTTCCGTTCCATCACCAGGTCTTACTATAGAGGAGCTGCGGGTGCCCTACTTGTCTATGATATCACTCGGTAAGATGATCAAAAATAATTGTATTTGAATCCGGTCCTCAATTACTCTTTGTCTTTTTTAGTCGTGACACCTTCAACCATTTGACCTCGTGGCTGGAAGACGCCCGTCAGCATTCTAACTCCAACATGGTGATCATGTTGATTGGAAATAAGTCGGATCTGGAGGCCCGGCGTGAAGTCAAGAAGGAAGAGGGTGAAGCCTTCGCACGCGAGCATGGCATGGTATTCATGGAGGCGTCGGCCAAGACTGCCGCCAACGTCGAGGAAGCCTTCATCGAAACCGCCAAGGAGATTTACCGCAAGATCCAAGAAGGCGTGTTTGATATCAACAATGAGGTAAGTGGGAGTGTTTTTGGGTTTTATGTTGAGTTTTAGGCTAATGGAATCAAGTTGGGACCACAACATTCACCCAGCTCACCAAACTCGCCAAGCGGCGGATCTTCATTGGGAGGCACCGGAGGCTGTTGTTAAGTGTGATATCGACGGGGTAAGGGTATAGATTGTATTAGAAATTGAAGAAAAAGGCCTCTTATTACTTCTCATTAAATTTTACGGCATAATTCTATATGAAACTTCTGTTTATATTATTTATATTTAACGCCTTGTGTAATATAAATTTTGGTTTCAGCACAATTCAAGACCCCAACTACGGCCATTGGACGTTACCCTTGACGCCTTCTATCCCCCACTTCCTTTCTAATTGTATTTACAGCTTCGAATAAAGCCTTTTGTGTACAGTAATTGTAAATTACAATTGGATTTAGCCCCTCTTTTCTCTGTCGTCTCCCCGATTTGCTTACACTTTTTCGTAGCCAAAATGTCTACTTCCCTAACCCCCCGAATGTCATCTTTTCTAGCCGATTCTTAAAGAGGAAAGAATATCAGGTCAAATATCCATTTTCGTGATGTTTCTTTTCCTCGTGTCCATACTATTATTATATTATACATGTATGAATGTAAAATTGTATTTTACACTAAATAAATGTATTTTCTTTATGGGGAGTTTAGAGACTATTGAGGGCGTTTTCGAGCATCTTTCATTGGATTTTGGGGGTAATTGGAGAAAATTTATGTTATACTAGGTCATCAGAACAAAAATAAAGTCTTGAAAGCCTTTTTTAGGTCTCAACAACTTTCGAAATGAAAGAAACTGCCGTTTCAAAGACCTGAGAAGCACTAACATCCAGTTCTTCCATATCAAATTGAATTTATATTACACTAGACACCGAAAAGTTCGTCCCTCCCCTGCTCTCGCACGACTTATGTCTGCTTTATGTTTTTGGCTTATTTCGATTGAAAAAAGCGTTCCCTCGGCCACTTCCTTGTCTCGGGCCCTGAGGGAACGTCGTGTTTTCGTCTTTTTCGGATTTTATTCAACCATGACGCAATCCTTTCCTAACCCAATATAGGCCCGGTCAGTTGACCTAGTTTGGATTGGATTAAGAATCAGAAATCAGTGTGGTATTTTGCATCATTCTGCATAATTTTGGTAAAAATTTTGGATACGTCTAGGTTCCGTCGGAAATTTTAACTAACTTCCAAAGCATTTTTAGTCGAATTTTTTTTGTACTACTCGTTTATCAAGCTTGTGGTATTTTAATTGAATGACCTTTTATTAAAACCACGGGAAAATAATTTGTTTCGTCTGCAAAAAACTCTGACAAGCCGATTTGAGTATTTTTTGGATTAATCCTTGAACTTTCCCTTAGGCTATTTGTTAATTTTCAAATGATTTTGGGGGCGAAAATTGGCTAATCTGGAAGGCGACATATTTTTTTTAAATGTATTGACAGCTGATTTGACAATGATTTCATACCTGTTTGGTCTGAAAATCGAAATTTTTGATGATTTTAGTCATCTTTTTCAAATAGAAAAACATTTTTGTTTGCCATGCCGCTCCAAGCAATCTAGGTGGCTCTTGACTTTGAAGCCACCTCCCTGCTTACGTTCGAGTGCAACAGGCCCGTTCTGAAGGTCTCTTTTTTCACATGTTATCCATGTGAATTGAAGGGGTTTTCCCAGCAAAGTTTACATCATCGTCCGATATAAATTCCTAGCAAGTTTTAAAAATTATCAGTCGATCTTTTAAAATTAGTTTAAACGATTGTTTGATAAGAATTCGGCAAAAAATCTGGGAATTCTGCTAACTTTTGATGATGCCGGAGGCAATTTTTGAAAATTCTCGAGGTTTTAGGTAATTTGGAATAAAATATGAGATTTCAAATGAAAGGTTATGTCGTAAAGACTAATTTGATATCAAAATCAATCCAATTAGTTTTGGCCCATATTATACTTAGTAGGTCATTTGTAATATAAAATTTTATTTTCATGTAAAATTGTAGTCAAATTCAATCTAATTAAAAAAAAACTAGTATGAAAAGACCTTTTCGGTCTTCAAAATGGTCATCACGACCAAGGATGACGCAATTTTTGGGCTTTTCCCGCAATTTTTTTTTTATTTTTCCTTTCCGAAAAAACGTCTAGACGTGTGCACTCTGGCCGTAAAAAAGAACGTTTGTTGGGCCGTTGAGCCAAGGCAGTGGCTTTTCCGAATGTTCCGTGCCGTTTTCGAAATTCCTCGCGAATAGAGGAACACTTTACTTGGATTTCATTATTTTTGGGCCGCGGTTATTGATCTTTTTGGTTTCTACGCGATGTTGAAGGCCGAACTAGGGATAATCTCTTGTGTGATGTGGAGTAAGAACTGTTTTCAGTGCAAATATTGGATTCAAAGGAAATTTAGAGGTCTAATTAGAAGGTTATAAGATCTTTTCGGAAGTCTAAACCTGTCAAGTGTAACATAATTATTTGACCCGAAATTTGGTTAGGTTTCTGCCACACTCTGCGGTAACTTTGTTACTCACATAATGTCCAATCTATTAGACTAGCTTTTTCTCCATTTACATCGTTTTCGTATGTTAACCATGATGCAATCGGATGTTTCTGTCCGAAAACCTAATTTCTTTCGGTTTTGAAATCCTTGGCATTACGTGGTCCTTCCCTCAAGGCGATGAAACAATCATCCGCGACTCACTTCCTCAATTTTCCAATCAAAACATCTTCTGCGGGAAAAAAAGATGTTGATCTGGACGACGAGGCGGTTTCTAATTTTCGGCCGCACTTGTCAACCCGATTGATTCCCCCCTCTCTCCGTGGCCCAAAAACTTATTGGCCCTTTTGTTTTCAGAGTTCTCCCGACGTTCGAAGACGTTCCCCACTCGAATCGAGGCCTTGGTTCGTGTTTTTCACCCAACATTTTTAATGTTTGAACTAAATTTACGTGAATTTCGCGAAATTCTATGGATTTTGTATTGTTTGCAGCTATAAAAATGCGCGTGGAGGTTGAGTTGACAATCTGTGAGGTGTTATTTGTGGGAAATCGGGAAGTTTTTTCGGGTTCAAGTATTCGCGCCATGGGTAATATAATTTTCTCTGATTCGTGTCAAGATTTTGATGTTTATTTTTTTAGGTAACCTTACTACTTCACGATGGCCGAAGTCGGTGCTTCTTATCAACCAGCCTTGACCAAGGAACGCGAGGAGGAGCTGAAGAAGATCGCAGCTCAGATCCTGACCCCCGGCAAGGGAATTCTCGCTGCTGACGAATCCACTGGTATGTTTTCCACTAACTTCTTATGTGCTTAGGAAGAGGAGAGTATTTTCTCTCTGTCAAATCATGTTTGACACACCTGCTGCCAAAAATATTTCTCTAACAGCTTATATTATCCATGAAGTTAAGTAGTCTAATGTAATATTAATTGAAGGATCGATTGGCAAGCGTTTGGCCTCCATCAACCTCGAGAACACCGAGGAAAACCGCCGCAAGTACCGTCAGCTTCTTTTTACCACTCCCAACCTCAACAAGAACATCAGTGGAGTCATTTTATACGAGGAAACTTTCCACCAGGTAAAAAATTTATTTCTTCGGGATACGAAAGTGTCTTAGAACATTGGAAGATTGTTTATAAGTGAAAAATGATTCGTTTTCTCTTGTTTGTTACGAGTCTTATCAGGCTCCACGTGAATCTTGATGTTTTCTTGTTTACAGCGAGTTTTTCGAGTAGAGTACGGGGTGAAAGTACTATACTTTTATTTGTTTATCGATTCTATAGTTCGTAAGCAGTCATTTGTGATCTTTTTCCAACTGATGGAACGTGGTTTTTATCAATTTCTTCTCAAAATTGTTTTTGATTCCAAGTGCGAAATAATTTTCCCCGATTTCATTGCAGAAGGCTGACAACGGCGAGCGCTTCGTCGACATCTTGAAGAAGAATGGAATCGTTCCCGGAATCAAGCTCGATCTCGGCATTGTGCCGATTGCGGGCACCGTCGGAGAAGGGGTTACCCAAGGCTTGGATAACCTCCAGAAGAGAGCCGAGGAGTTCAAGAAGGGTGGAGCCGAGTTCGCCAAGTGGCGTAACGTGATCCACATTGGAAAGAACGTCCCATCCCACGTCGCGCTCCAGGAGAACGCCTCCGTTCTCGCCCGATATGCATCGATCTGCCAGCAGGCCGGCCTAGTCCCAATTGTTGAGCCAGAAGTACTCTGCGATGGAGAACACGACCTCGCCAGATGCCAGAAAGTCACTGAGATCACCCTCGCCTACCAATACAAAGCTTTGGCCGACCATCACATTTTCTTGGAAGGCACTCTCCTCAAGCCAAACATGGTCACCCCTGGGCAAGGACATGCCAACAAGGCCACCGCTGAAGAGATTGGATTTGCCACTGTCACTGCTCTAAGACGAGGAGTCCCATCAGCTGTTCCCGGTAAGAGTTTTTGTCTTTTTTGTTGACGTTTAGGTGATGAAATAAGAAAAATGTCGTGAAGGTGTTTTTTTTCTGATGGATGTTATTTTGGTCGAATTTTGTTGCAGTTTTCGGGCTGAAATTGAAACAGTAGTTACTTCATAGGCAAACCTTGGAATGTAGACTAATTCTATGCTGTTTCAGGCATTGTCTTCTTGTCCGGAGGTCAATCTGAGATTGAAGCCACCAAGAACTTGAATGCCATCAACTCTGTCAACCTATTGAAGCCCTGGACTCTGACCTTCTCGTACGGTCGTGCTCTGCAAGCCTCCGTTCTGAAGGCCTGGGAAGGAAAGGACGAGAACATCGAAGCCGCCCAGAAGGTCCTCCTCCACCGCGCACAGGCCAACGGAGAAGCGCAACTCGGGAAATACGCTGGAGAAGAAGGTGCCGCTGCTGCCGCCGAGTCCCTCTTCGTTAAGAACCACGCATACTAAACCAGGATCCAGTCCTGACATCCAGTCGACGATAAACTTATTCTATACACCTATTTTTACCATTAGTTAGGTCCCCAGTCATGTGTAACGAGAATTAGTTAATAAACCCACTAAACCTGAACGTCGGCTCGGCTTAATTCTCCTCGTCAGTGCCTCTGAGTCTGGGATGTCTTATCGCTAAAGATTGGGCTGTTTGAAACTAAACTTGTAGATGAAATAATGCCGAATAAGTTGAATGCGCGCGCTGTGGTGGCGGGCGGCGGGATCATGGGTCTCTCCGTCGCCTATCATCTCGCCAGACGAGGTGCGGCTGTCATGCTCTTCGAGAAGGACTGGTAAGCCGTTAGGATCGAGATCATGAGTGTGGGGTAGTGTTCGAGGGGTGTTAATATTGCACTAGGTGGTCAAGCATAGTGTAAGATTCTGAATTTAGTATCGGCGCGCACAGTGAGACACATCCAACAAATGTGGGTTTGGTCACCGCTCCATACTTCTGGCCTGACGCTATGGCTCAAAGAATGGCAAGAAAGTCACTACAGCTATACAGTCAACTGGCCAAAGTAGCCGGATTCCGTAAGTTTTAATATACTTTGTGAATCAGAGAGGTAATGATGTTCCGGTCCAAGCTTTATGAATGGGTATAAATCCTAGATTCTACAACAAACTTGATTTGAGCTCTCTTTTTTCATAGGTAACATTAAATTCCCGTTTATTTGTACTTTTTTCCTTCAGGATACGCCAGATGCGGTCGAGTGTACCTGGCGGCCTCTGATGAGTCCGTAGTCCATGTCCGCCGTATCCATTCCCGCTCGCTAGTCCACGGAGAGGCCAATGAAATGTTCGATTGTCCCTCGGAAATGCTGGCCCGATGGCCTTTGATAAACACCGAAGACCTCAGGTTGGCCCTGCATTCGGTCGAGGATGTCAGTCTAGACAACATGGGATTATGCAGCGCTTTGGCAGACGCTGCAAGAGAGCATGGAGCTCAGATTTATGAGAACTGTGATGTTAAGAAAGTTATGGTCGGAGAAGGCCAGAAAGTGTTCGCTGTGGACACGGAGGAGGGCCTAGTGGAAACTTCAGTCTTTGTAAATTGCGCTGGAATTGTAAGTTTGGAAAGATTCAAAGGTCTAAAAGGTTATTATCCTTGTTTTCGAAGGAACTGCCTAAAATAAAGTGTTTTTTGATGAGAAATCGAGAAAGTAATGTCTAATTTTGATTTTTTATTCTAAAAATGTGTGATGTATACAAGCTAGACACCTCTCGTTTCACCGAAAGAATCGGAGAATTACATCTCTTAAGTTGTCATCAAAAATTTCAGCACTCCAACATGATCAATGTAACCTCCGTCCCGGAAAGATGTGTCCGTGTTCCGGCTTGGCCTTGCACATACACAATGCTGACGGCAGAGAGACTTAACAGTTCCAACATCCGCGACACTACACCAGCTTTTGTCGACATGGACCACTCAACTTTTATCTACGCGAATGAGAATCGAACGATTTGTGGGGGTTTTATTGAATCTGAAATCACCGCTCTCAAAGTGCCGCATGGGATTCAAGCCGAATGGAACTTGCCGAGCCCGGATTGGGACAAATTTTGTAAGTTTGGGATTTTTGGAAAGATGAAAAAATGGGTTTATTACAGATCCCATTCTAAAGTCCATGATTGACCGTTGTCCCAGCCTTGCCAAAGTGACCTCCGGCGATTTAACGGCCGGCTGCGAGATGTATTCCCCGGATATGTATCCAGTTATTGGAGAAAGCGAGCAAGTGAAGGGCTACTTTGTGGCCAATGGCCTAAACGGACAAGGTTTGGCCATGGCCGGAGGATTGGGCGAGATTCTGGCTCAATGGATCGTCGAAGGGGTCAGCTCCCTGACCAAAGACATATCAAAATTCGATGTAACCAGGTTCTCTCGACAACATACCAACCCACAATATCTCTACGAAAGAGTGGCGGAGATAGCAAGTGAGTTTGGAAAAGTTTTGAGAAGTCGCCCTGATTTGCAGGGTCTTCCCGGTGGGGCTAAAAAATTTGATTATGATCTTGTAAATTTGGGTCCACAAAGAGTTTGACAGAGAAAGTGAGGTGCAAAACAAATTTCAGGCAACACTTTCAAGCCCTGCCACTACTCCCATCAATGCCACACCGCCCGAAACCTTCGAATGTCCCCGATTTATCATCATCTCCGAAGTCGGGGCGCCGTTTTCGGAGAAATCATGGGATACGAACGCCCATTGTGGTTTGCGGACGATGAGGAAACGGTGAACAATCAGGTATACTGCGGACAGGACAACAATCTCGGCCAACCGATCTGGTTCCACAATGTGCGAAAGGAGTACGAAGCGTGCCGAGAGAGGGTGGGATTGATTGATATGACTAGTTTCTCCAAGTTCGACATCCAGGGACCGGATGTGGTAGAGTTGTTGCAGAAGGTATGCTCGGCGAACGTCGATAAACCAATCGGATCGACGATTTACACGGGAATGCAGACCGAGAATGGTGGATACTGGACGGATTGCACGCTCAGCAGAGTGGACGATAAAAAGTAAGGACACTCAGTGGCCTGGAAGTTCAGCTAAAGGGATTTGGAATTGCTTTTGAACCAAAAACGGGCATGTCAGGGTTTCGTGGTGGGACGCAGACTAAGGAATAGAAAGAACGGGATTGGTAAAATTAAATCGTATTTTTGTTTATTAGATAATTATCATTGTCATAAATAAGATTAGTGTCTTTCTTTCATGGCTTCGCGTTGGGAACTAGCGAAATTTTCAAGGCTCGTCTGAACTAAAACAATATTATTTTTGAGAGAACTATGACAAGTTATGATGCCCAAAATGCTTACAGATTCTTCATAGTCGCCCCCTCAGTCCAGCAAGTCCGTTGTCCCATGTGGATCAACAAATGGGTCAAGGAATTTAACATGAACGTCCACATACAAGATGTAACTGGCCTTTACACGGCTCTAGATGTGGTTGGACCCTCCTCAAGACAACTCATGCAAGATCTAACTGGCAAAGACATGTCTACTAGCAGCTTCCCGTCATTTAGTTGCAGAGTGAGTACTGTAATTTCAAGGCGAATAACGTAATACATTGATAAATAAATGAATTTTTAGGAGATGAACATTGGAATGGCCGCCGGAATTCGCGCCATCTCAGTAACACACTGTGGAGAGCTGGGATGGATGTTGTACATCCCGAACGAAGTCGCTCAGAATGTTTATGAGAAGATTGTGGAGGCCGGAGAAGAATACAGTATGCTCCACGCCGGATATTACGCCCTCAGGCATCTGAGAATCGAGAAATTCTACGTCTATTGGGGTCAGGATATCAATGCGACAGTAACTCCGGGGCAGTGCGGCCGAATGTTTAGAGTAGACTTTGAGGTAAGCAGGCTGCGCCCTTGCTTATAAAACAGTTCTTTTTGAATAGGATAGGGTTTTCGACAAGAGCTGAACTGTATAAAATATGTGTAGAGATGCTGACTATTTGTCAGCAGTGTTACAGACGTATGTTTAAGTTGTGCGGCGAGCTGCGCCCGACCTTCATTACAAAGGATGATTATTATGATTTCAGAAAGACTTCATTGGCAAGGAAGCCCTCTTACGGCTGAATGAAGAGCCTGTAACTAAGAGATTTGTCCAACTACTGGTTGATCGACACGATATGGAAATAGATCCATGGCCCCAAGGAGATGAACCCATCTATAAAGATGGCAAACTCTGTGGCTGGACCACATCAGCGGCTTACGGATTCACTTTGGGATCACAGGTAATCTTTTTGAAGATATAGCATTGATTTTTGAGAGGACTGGAGGCAATTACATTGTAGTAGATGGTCATGTGCAATATAAAATATATTACACTTTGAGTGATATAAAGCGGGAGATAAAAGATTTTCTGAAAAATTTTTGAAATTTTTCTGTTTTTACTTTTTTTTTAAAAAAAAAGTAAATTTTCAGTTTACTTCAAGGAAAATGCAAAAAAAAGTCAATTTTGTTTCTGGCTTTCCGACTTCAAGGTCGGGAGTAGGACCGGATCTTACTCCCCTCTCGGAGTCGCCGAAAGTCAGAGCTTGTTTTTACTTTATTCCTCTTTTTGGCCCCGCACTGCAGGTTGCAAGGTTGATGCCAAGTCTTTCCCTGATGTGTCAAGTTTTTCTCTTCCGAAAAAATTATTTTTACGTTTGTGCGACGTTGTGAAGCTATGTTCTCCACGAAGATGGGCTGGAAAGTGATCAAGTAAGTTAGCATTGGCAAGAGGAGATGTACGTTTTTCATTTGACATCAAAAATTTCCATTTTATTTCAGAGAAAGGTACAAAATTTTTCCAATTCGTAAAGCTTCATGACCATGGATAATGTAAGTGAGATTATCTCCTTTTTTGCTACGACGTCAAGATTCTAAGTCGGGAAACGTTTAGAGGAGACCCCACTCTCATGTATATTCTCCATGTATGAAACCCCATAAATTTTGAGGAATAACGACGTAAAAGTTTCAAATACTATACTAACTTTCCAAAAGTATGTTATACTAAAGTAAAACCTATGCAAACTATCTTCAAGTTATTGTAACAACGTTATTTGAGCCTTATTACGTTATTACCTCAGTTTAGAACGCATTCGTGGCAAAAATCCGGCAGATCTGAGCGGATTTCGATATTGTACATGACACCTAGAAATCGAAATTGGTGGCGTTTGATAGATAGAGTATATAACAAAACTAAAGTGAGGTGTCCTCTAGAACTAGCCAGCCTAGAACTGTTAACTCCAATAACGGAACAAAAAACGCGATAAGCGCACTTACATTATCCATGGTCATGAAGCTTTACGAATTGGAAAAAATTTGTACCTTTCTCTGAAATAAAAGGAAAATTTTTGGTGTCAACTGAAAAAAGTACATCTCCTCTTGCTAATGCTAACTTACTTGATCACTTTTCAGCCCATCTTCGTGGAGAAAATAGATTCACAACTTCAAAAAAATCAAAACGTTTCTTCCGGGAGAGAGAAATTTGACACATCTGGAATTCCCGGGCGCAGCTCGCAAAAATAGTTTTGAAGAAAATAAATTGGCGTGCAGGTGAGTAAAAACGGCATCCTACTCACCAGCCAAAATGGGCGAGCCATTTTTGTTTCAACTTTGCGGATCGACCTTTTGGCGAGCCATTTTTGATCCAACTTTCCAAAAATTTGTCGTTCGGAGTAAGAATGTTTTTTGACTCTCCGAAATCGAAAATTTCCGGAAATTTTTCAAAATTTACTTTTTTTTTAAAAAAAAAGTAAAAACAGAAAAATTTCAAAAATTTTTCAGAAAATCTTTTATCTCCCGCTTTATATTAACACTTTTAGGTGTGCATTGGCTACCTAAAGCATCGCGAAGGCATTACACAGGACTTCATCAACAGCGGAGTATTCGAAATCGACATCGCAACGAAGAGATTCCCAGTCCGAATAAATCTGCACAGCCCATCACTACCGATGGTGTCCTCCGAACATCCTGTTCATTATCGCCCCACCCAAGAGGATCCAGAGTGATGAACTCACAACGAGATGTAAAATACCGATTGTTAAACCGATATTTATTTTGTTTAGGACACTAATTAGAGACATTGTATAAAATACAGTTCTGTTCACAATGAATTGAAATTTTGAAAAAATGGTTGCAAAGGTGTCCTTTGTAATGTCAAAGGTCAAATTCTTGGGCTAACCGCTCCACCCAGTTCAGTTCTTCATCATCCAGTCGCTCTGGAAGCCCCCGGCATTTTTTCGCACAGTGCAGTTTCAATTCGTTCTCATTTCGACTGCACTGTGCGTTTCGCATCACATTTTCTGGACTCGCAAGAATTGCCTCTTTTCCTCTCTCCTTCAATTCCACGCTCTCTCGCTTGTCGCAACAATTCGCAAGCCTGTGTCGCGGCCATCAATCGCAGCGATTTTCAAGGAAATTTGCGACGAATTTGATGTCGCGATTCTGCATTTCATCGAATTCGAAAGAAAAGGAAGCAAAATTGATGTCACAGTGAAAATCACTGCGAATTTGAACTTTTTTCCTCTCTCCTTCAATCTCACGCTCTCTCGCTTGTCGCAACAATTCGCAAGCCTGTGTCGCGGCCATCAATCGCAGCGATTTTCAAGGAAATTGGTGACGAATTTGATGTCGCGATTCTGCATTTCGTCGAATTCCAAACAAATGGACGCAGAATTGATGCCAAAGTGAAAATCGCTGCGAATTTGAATCATTTTGCGGCGGATTCGATGTCGCGAATCTGAATCGCAGCGTTTGGCGCAGTCAATGTTTTCGTGCCGGGAGAGAGTTGATCCGGTGGTGGGAAATGTTGTCCCAGAATTTCCGGCGCGAGCTCTCACTTTCAGTTTTGATGATGACTTTTTCTCCTCATTTCGTCGAGTTGTTGTCCTGTGGCGCGAGCTCGTGCTCGATTTACAAATATTTTCGGTTTTTTGGTCATGGATAATATAATTTGATGCTGTTCTTGGGTGTATTTGAAAGCTTTTGACTTTTGTTTAGGAGGAATCCGCTGTAAATTGTCTTCTGGAGCTGTTTTCGTTTTTTTAGGTATAGCCTCGGCTGATTCTTGGGAAATTTTGCTTAACGTTTTGTGTATTGATGGATAATATTATTTCTTGGTCCGCGAAAAAGTTTTTTTCTGGCTGGTTTACGTTATCAATGGCTTTCTCTTGCTATTGGTTTAATTTTCTTCGCGATTTGCCATGAATAATATTACACTTGACCTTTCATTGACAAAATCGCGAATCGTTTTTCTTGCGCAAGTTTGCATGGTTCTTTCAGTGCAGGATGTCAATGGGAAAGGACCGAATGTTGTATGGCGGCCGCAATTCATTCGCGTTCTCGACTGGATTCCAGTTTCAGAGCAATCCCACCACCGTCACTCGACCAATCCCCAGTCTTTGGTCGGACACAGATCTTGGCTCCAGCTCCTCCGGAACTCCCAATACCTCCAAATGGTCGCCGCCTGTCGATCCTATCGGCTATTCTCGTCCTATTGGATCTCGTTTGTCCGGCTCTTCCAATCAGTCCGGATCTCCTCCATCTTCGGCGTTCCAGCCGCTCCATTCGACACCAGCTGGTCACAAAGCCCCGGCACCAATGCTGACGGCGTTCAGCAAGTCCATGGCCCCACTGAAGCCGACTCCACTTCCCTCGCAGTTTGGTCTTTCGGCCAGGGCGAAGGATCAAAGCCAAGATGCGACACTGACTGATAAACAACGACAGGAACGGCAGAGAATGAGGCGATTGGAAGAGAACTACAAGACCGTCATGTGCGACTTCATGCGAGCTCACGACTTCTGTATGTTTGGAGAGAATTGCAGATATGCCCATTCGGTGGAGGAACTCAGACCAAAGTTGGTAAGATTTTTCATTGTTTCTTCTGTTTTTAGGCTGAAGAAACGGGAAAACGGAATGGAGAATGTGTGAGAGAGCTTGCTGTGTGAGCTCATGGTCGTTTAGTTTGTAAAATACGCCATCTATGCATGGGCCTTTCTTGCGTAGAATAAGTTAAAATTTCTCAAGAAACAGCCAGAATAAGTCGCAAATCAAGCTGAATTTGTTGAAGCAAACGTTTTCTGGGTGTTGGAAACGTTTTCCAACCTAGCCGGACTGAATTTTATATTGCCCTGTACGGAAGGAAATAGTTCTGAAATTTAACTGTTACTAGTGCTCTTCAATCGATTTGTTGCTGAATATATTTATCTTTGTTGTTTCCAGCCGCCTCCAAACCACAAGACAATCCTCTGTCGCAACTTTACAGCAACCGGAGCTTGTCCTTATGGTCGGAAATGTCGTTACATCCACCGATCTGGGGATGACGTCCAGCCCAAGCAACCCTCCCCGCCCAAAGTCCGACCCCCATTTGAGGACATCTTGAATACCGCCATTGGTCAATTGGATTTGTGATGTCTCCTCATTCATCATTAACCCTTGAGATGGCTGGGATTTCCGAGGGATTTAAGGATTTTTTCGATTATTTAGTAGTACTATGCCATTCTTTGAGATTGTTATGTGTCTAACTAGTAATTTACGCCTATTCAGTCGATCTCCTTTCCATTTCTCACGATTTCCCACCATTGTTGATACTATCCATCCCCTTATTTTGATTATTTCTAGCCCCGTTTACAAATTTTTATTATGGTTTTTATGTGTACAACACTTTATAACCTAATCGTTGCTACTCTCACAGAATTTTATTATAAATATTTTACATCCGAAAGGAGTAAAAAATTGTTTTTATACCAAATAAATTATTTACAATCGACTTTTTTCCAAAGTTAACCATGTGTTGATAGTGAGTCAATATATTTATATATTTGCTAGACGCATTTTTACTGTACAATTGTTGAAACATCAAGAAAAACTCGGACAATTTCAATTTTTAACATTTTTATTCTTTTTTCCAGTAGAAAACGACGGATTTCAATGGTCGAAAACGGTTGCAATATAATAATTAAGAGGATGTATGCACAGAGATAATAATTATCGTTCAATAAAATTAAATAAAACGTGATAAAACTTTCCGATTTTATCCAAATAAAAGAAAAGAAAAAGAGAACCCGAATTGATATCGAACCAAGAAGAAAAGGGAGACAAAAAAAAGTGCCACAGAGGACCGACAACGACTGAGCCAACCACGCGAATGTCGATGGGGGAACAGGAGTGGGGGTGGGATGGGAGGAGGACTGGGCTGATAATACTCGAAAGGAGAACGAATTTGGGGGTAGTTTATGTTAATATAGAGGACCTGAATATACAGCGCAAAGATTGGGGGAGTCTTGTTTGAAGACTTGAAGATGTCCTATAAAAAGGAGAGAATTCGAAGAGCGGGGAGGCTGAGGAAGGTGACTGGGATGGACTGGATAGGTAATCAAGTTTGACTTGGCCCACCTACGGACAATTTTCGAATATTACCCATTAGGACCCGACCCATGGATAATATAATCGATTTTTCACTCGTTAAAATCTGATGTCACAACCAAAAAATCCAGTTCTCATCAAACCACCTAACAGGTCCCCAAATAGATAATATACAGTCAAAACAAGCCGAGGCGGTGTGCCAGCGACATGTCCTTTCCGGGCAGCTCAACCAAGACCACAGACATGGTATTTTCGCTGATTTCCAATTTATATTACGCCTCCAGGAGATGCAAAGGAAGAGAAAACTGAATGATATTACTGGTAAATGAGGCTGGAATAAGATCTATGAAAATCTAAAAGAGAGAAATCACAACGTACAACGCATAAATCGATGAGACAAACGGGGGGATTTAACGACATTTTATTGTCGCGTTCCCAACAAGGTACCATGATATTACAGTACACCTACAGTAATCAGAAGTGACATAATGAAAGTTAGGAGAAGTCTAGGCCACCGCCGCCATGGATCCGCTCTGTTTGGTTGGGGTTCCGTTGCCATTTTCGGATTTGTTGGGCCTGACCTTGTTGTTGAGATCTCCGTTACACTTGGGGCTGACCGCGCTCATCCCGTTCCCGATTCTTTGGCGTTTCTGGTCCGGCTCTTCTTCGTGCCCATTCTCTGTGAGCCCATGCTTCATGTTGATGTTGTTGCGGAGCTTTTCCTTCACCGCATCCGACGCCGACTTGAAGTTTGGCTGCGAGTTGAGTGAGTTTGTGTCGCTGGCCGGCTGGCTTGTTTCTCCGTCCGACTCAGGGCCGGATTCGGCGTCGGAGTCGTTGAGAAGGGCACTCTCAAGAGCGGTCATCTCTCGGCCATCCGAATGGCGGCTCCTTTTTCTTCGGTGTTTGGTGTTTCCGTTCACTAAAATAATATAAATTATATCAACTACAATCCAATATGTTATCCCAAGTCAAGCTATATCACCTTTAAGCCTCTAATATTCCCAAAAATCAAGTTAAAATAGGATTTGATCACTTTCCGACATGATTTTATATTATCCTTACCTTCCAAATTCCCATTGGTCTTGCTCGGTGACATGGACCTCGAATCAGGAGAAATGGACACCTTCGGAAGGCCCTTTTGAGCTTCAACATGGAACGGGTTAGTTGGAGGTGGTAAGGTGACATTCAGGAATGGCTCCGGCGGATCTTCGGCATCGTCGCTGACCTTCCACTTGAACGATGGGAATCGCTCGGCCATTTTGCTTGTTTCCTGAGGCGATACTTCCTTGGCAAGCAGCAGGTCACTGGGAATGTGTTGGAGATCGTACAGGATACCGGCAACCATGCCAGCTACTCGGGAATCCATCTAAAATAAGGTAAATTAATTTAAAAAATTTCTCGTTGTTTTGGGAAACCGAGTATTTAAACAGATAAAGCATGGTTCGCAAATCAGTGCTCTGGGCAATATCAACTCACAATTTACTACTACTATTATTTTGGCTTCTTTCCAAAAATCCCAAATTTTTGCCCAAACTAATACGCAAAATATACTCTCTACGTCTCTCGAACCCTTTCTAAATCCATGATAGTGAGCTCATGCTGTTCTAAGACTTTCCAGGCCACAGTTTTCTCACCAAATTCCCACGAAAATGCACAACTTTCACCTGTTCCATAAAAATCTCTAAAAATGGCTACAGTATACCATCAGACTGCCAAAACAAGTCCGAGTCGACATAAACGCCCTAATAACATTGGGAATAAATTCTTCCGAGGGACCAGTACTCTCCGCCCAGCAAAAGTGCAATGCCGCGCACTTTACGAAAAAAAATATTGACGGCGCCCGCAAAAACGAAAGAATTTCCGAAAAAAACTCTAAAAAAACACACACAGCCAGCTAGCGAAACCTCGTTGAGGCTCACTGGGGCTTCGCCCTTCCTACTGTATTTTGCACTTTGGTTTGGGAAAAGACGCGGAAAAATGGGGCCTTTCCAGAGATCCGTTGATAGCTTTCGATCACGGAATGCTCCGTCCGAACCCTCAGGGGGATGGCTCCTTATGGCGGGAAAGGACAACCTATTTACAAAAAGAGGCTACTAAGCCGATTCTAATCAGATTTAATGCAAAATCCGAAAGAAAAATTTGGTCAAAACTCCGCCTTAACGTCGTACTAGGGTGCTAAACCAAATAAAACCAGATTTCCCCTTTCTAATCAGAGTTCACTGGGAAGTGCAACTCATAATCACACTTCGTATTGGTTTTCGCTCTCTTCTTTCCATTTTTGAGAAACCAAAAAGGTCAACCATATGGCAGGAATGCACTTTTCCGTTGGAAAAAGTCCAATTTTTCGGCTTTCTTACTAGCGATAAAAAATCAAGGGAAATAAATGTTCAAAAGCCAGCTGAGAGTGCGAAATACTGTTCGGGACCAGCTCAGAAGTGCAGTTCCTACTGTGTAAACATCGGATGACTCGTTTCGTCATTTTAAATCCCCGCCGTTTGATCAACGTTTTTCCTTCCACTTACGTAGCTGCTGACGGTGAAGGACAAAAGGCGGGACTGGTGCTTCACAAAGTACGGCCGGCATACTTCGTACTGCGCCAGACAGGCGAGGATTTGAGCGGCTCGTCGAAGCATGCCGAAGGAAGTGCCCATTCGTTCCGGGTTGTCCCTCAGAACCGTCACTCCTTCGGTGGTGGCGATGGTTGTGATGTTGAACTCGGCGGCCTCCAGGAACGAGACCAGGTTCTGAATGACGTCCGTTTCGAGCGTCGCCACCACGCAGGCCGGTTCGCTGGCTTGGCAAATCGCGGTTAGGATCACAATCGCAAATTCTCTGAAAACATTTCCAGTAATTGTTCTTTGTTCAAAAAGTTCATTGATGAAATTGGTCGATAAATCTTATCGTTTTTTGAAAGGCTAACAGTCACGCGTTAGAAAAGTGCAACCTCTACTTCTAGAACATTTCCTAACAATCTAGCTTCAAATAAATTCAAAAAATTGGGCTCTGAACCTTATGTTAGACAAAGAAAATTAAAAGTCGCTCTAAAATAATATCCAAATCCTCTTCTTACCTCAATGGAAGCTCCTCTGACATTGTGACGCTGTTAGCAACTACTCGTACAAACTCTTCGATTCTGGGCCAAGGTCCGGTCGACAACAGGAGATCAATGTTGGACTCCAAAAGTGACATTTTGCAGATGACTTCGAACACATACAATCTAAAAAAATTTGTAAAATACGGAAAATTTCATATTCTTTCTATACTCTTTCAATAATCTCTTAAAAAATCCAGAAGAATAATATAATTTCAAAAAAAAATTGTTTGACCAAGTATAATATCGGAAAACGCTTACTTTGGGCTGTAAACCGCGTTGTTGATGGGATCTTTGGCTTGGATGTTGGTGGTGACGGCCCAATGGAGTAATGCGTCCATTAATCGATAAGTCACGTCGCTGTTTTGGTTGTAGAGATCGAGCTGAACGCTGATGTGCGACAGCAATGTGAATGCATCATCGCGGAGCTGATTCGCAATCTCTAGGAGCAACTTCTCATCCGAATCCTCTTCGGATGGGGCCGACTTCTTCTCTGGTTCCTTTTTGTCGCCCTTCTCGTCCTCTTCGACTTCTTTTTTCACCTTTTCCTCGGCTTCCTTCTCGGCCTTTAGCTTCGCTGACTCCAGATTCCTCTGCTCGTCCCGCTTGACCTTCAACATTAACAAACGGCCAATCAGGTCGAGCAGTTCGGTGTTGTTGTACATGAGCTTCTCGTTGCCCGGGAAGAAGGAGAACCCGCGGATGATGTTGGACATGGCCAGAAGACGGTCTCCGATCTCCTCCAAGCAAACATCCCGGTTGACCAATGGTGCCGCACGGGGGATGAGCGAGAGGTCGGCGGTGATCTCGCGATTCCAGGTCTCATTTGGCTTGGGTTGACGATAGAATAATGTTTCTTCCTGAAAAAATCGAAAATGAAAAATCAGTTATATTATACGTGACATCAACGCAAAAACCTGTCCAAAAACTTCAAATTTCACTACCTTCTATTCTAAAGTCTCTCTAAAAATCAAATAAAAAGTAATTTCAAAGATTTGACTCACCTCCATCTCCTCCTTGACATCTTCTTCTTCTCCATCTTGAACTTCTTCTTTGATCACATCGTGTTTCGAGAATCTCATTCGTTTCAGCCCTCGTTTACATTGCAACCTGGTCATGATTCCCTTATATATCCTGTGACACAATCCGGAGACAAATTTTCCCTCTTCCAATGCCTTGTTCTCTTTGGAAGTCTCTTGTTCATCCTCCCATTCCTTGCACAGGCGATCCAAAATCATGGGTTTCTTGGCCTCCTTCTCCACATAAACCTTTCGCCCAGTTCGGGAGACGAAAGTGAAGTCGGTGCTGTTCTTCCTCGATTTCTTCTCCACTTTTCCGTTGATTTTCCCCATCTCGACAACCGAGTTTTTCCGAGAATTTGGGGCATTTTCGACAAAGTCTTCAAAGACTTCCAAGTCCTTCGCATTGTCAGTTAGACTGAACTCCTGAGGGTATAAAACGGCCAAAAGAGCCTTGAAGTGTTCGATGCAAAGGCCCAAAAGTTGGGGTTCCGAGCTGAGGATCAGAGGTTGAGCCATGTCGTCGTACAAGATAACCGTCAAAACGTTGATCGCCCAGATTGTATCCAGCTCTTGACCTGATCTCAAAGCCATTGTCAGACGCTTCGGAGTGGCTCCATTGATATCTCGGGCAAAGGAACGAGGTCGTTTCCGCCGCATCGCTGTTGCTGTAGCAATGGCCTCGAGACAACCGGGTGGAAAAGAGGCGTTCATCTGACCTTGTTGAGGCTGCATCTGACGGGACATTGGATGCGGTTGGTATTGCTGAGACGCTGTGGTGGCTGGAGGCATCTGTTGGACTTGAGGGGGTACCTAAAATCAAGGATTTACACTTCGGGACAACGTCAATTTATACAAAATTTCTTGGATTAAGAAGTCGAAGACAAAAAACTTCTTGGCGAACCTATGGAAAATTTGGACTGAATATTCATCTCTTTCTTCTTATAAACATTATTTCAGACTTTCCTCGTCAAAAATCTTCTTTTCGATCATGATCAAACTTTTGATGCCTAAACTCCAGAAAACAACGAAAAACACTTACCCTCTGTTGTCTTTGAGCTGAACTCGGACTGGCCATTCCCTGCTGGTTGTTTTGCATGTAGTATTGTTGAGGTTGAGGTGGAGGAGGTGCAGCCGAAGTTGAGGGAGGCTGAGGTCTTCGGAACTCCTGCTGTTGCGGCTTCCCCGGCATCTGCGGAGTGTGTGGGTTCAGGAAACGAGGCTGTGGCACACCGGGTTGCGAGTTCGGCGGCCACATTCCCGGATGTTGTGATGAAGGTGGATACATGTTGGGATGGGGAGGCGGGAAGCCCTGAGATGGATCCGGGTAGCCCATGGGATATTGGGGCTTGTTTGCTGTGGGGACGGGTCGATATGCATTTGGGGGATAGTAAGGTTGGCTCGTATGTGGCATGTTCATCGGGTTTACGGGCCTGAAACAAAATTTATTACCTAAAATAAGGTCAACACTTCAAAAAACATAAAATTTTGGGAAAACTCTTCCAAAAAGTGCAGCCGACGACAGAAACAAACTGTTTAATATTTAAAATTGTATTCAAATTTCTACAGATTTCAACCGTTTTACATTAATTTACCTGATGAACATGTTTGGACTCCCAGGAGAACCATTATTACGTATATTAAAAAAAGGGTGGTTTGGATTAAACATTGTGGAAGCTATAAATGACTCCTTCTCTCCGTCTCAAACGCCACATCGAAAGGAAATTATGCAGAAGTAATTTTTCAATAAATCTGTGACATTTCGTCAAAACGTCGGGATTTTTCGTGTACATTTCTTTTGGGTGTATTCCAGAATTTTTGTCTATGTTTTAGTCGAGAATAAAGTGTTATGCAACATATTTTTTCGTAAGTTTGGTTTGATTAAAGCGGTTTTCGGGGGAGAAGTTATAAAATTCTTGATAAGAATACCTAGTATAATATAAACCTTCCCAAAAATTATGGAAAATGAATTGAAAGGCTTACATTTGAGGTGGTGGTTGAGCAGGGCCGGGCATGGACGCCGAACTGGACGGGACCGGAGTGTGTCCGAGTTTGGCGGGCTGCCTCGAACTCGGTCGTTCCTCCTGCCTGGTGTCGGGTGTCGAAGGTGGTTGGTAGTGGGCTTGGGAGGGCGGCCGACTTGTCTGATGTGGTGGGGCGGGAGTGGAGCGGCTGGATTGGTCGCCGGTGGAGGCCGGGCCCGCCTGTGGGTCCATCGCTTCGGGTTTGGGGGCCTGGATGTGGGGTGGGGGTGGCTGAGGTTGGGCTTGGGGGAACTGAGGTGGTGCATAGCCGGGTGGGTAGCCCTGGCCGGGTGGGGGATGGGTTGGCGGTCGAACTGGCGGGTAGCCGTGTTGAGAATAGCCGGGCGGGAGTGGTTGGCCCGACCAGCCCGGATACCCGGGATGATGGGGAGGTGGAGGCGGGAGACCCTGTTGTTGATAATAATAAGGTGGTTGACCTTCGGCGGGACCATGTTGAGGGTAGTTTGGCGCTGAAATTAGATTGCATTGATATTTGTATTACTTGAGCCATCTATTTTTATTTTTTCTCTCTAAAATGTCATTTGTACCTTTAAAATATCTTTTCTTCCGCTATTATAGAGAAAAAAGAAGTATTTTAGATGAAAGATGTATCACAAGGATAGAAGGTCCCGTTATGGCCCTTGACCTTTTCTTGTTGATAACATTTCATGACATTCTCCCCGCTTTGCCGTGGTTTGCATGACATTCGTATTTCCCCACTTTTTGGATGTTTAAAACCCGGCCGAACAATCTCGGCCCTTCTACAGTAGCGGGTGTTTCGTGCTTAATGCCTCGGGGCGGTTGTCCGGACAACCGGTTGGAGGATTGGGGAGGCCTTACATCGGAGTGTGTGACTGTGTAATCGGGATATTATTTTACACACCAGATGACCAGCGCGGCGAAGAAAAATTAGACATTAATGAAATGCCCTTTCAAAGTAATCCCTGAGGGTGTTTGGGGAATAATGACCAGAAAAAATGGATGGCCTATAAAACCCAAAAAAAGTTGGCGGGATCTCAGATTTGACAGATGAAAGTGCAATATCAAAAATCTTTTTTCCCAGGAATATTTTTAAAGTTTCAAAATCGAATTCTCTACCCCAACGAGGCTGTTGTTGAGAGCTCATGGAAGTGGACGGTTGATTAGGAATTGGACTAGGCTGCTGTTGTTGGAGTGGCCTTGGGCTGGCCGTCATTACCGGATGTGTTGGGTACGACGGCATGTATTGTTGTTGCGGTTGTCGAAGCGAAGGCGAGGGTACCCGGAACATCTGCGGACTAGCCGTACTCGTACTGGGCGTCTGGATTCGAGGCGAGGGCGCGCGAGGATAATCGTAGGCCGGAGGGGCCAAGTGATTCGGACGAAATTGGGGCATGGGCCCTTGCTGCGGGGCCGGCCGATACACGTTCGATGGGCTGGGATATCCGATATGTGGTTGACTCATTTGAGGGGGATATGCGGGCGGATAGCCCGGCGGGTAGCCGGGTGGATATGACATCCCGTAAGGTGGCATGGGGTAGTTGTAGGCCCCGCAGCCCACTGGCTGTTGGCCATAGTCCGGTTTCACGGCGTTCGGCGGCTGCTCCGAGGTCTGTGAGGTCTTCTTTCGACGTGAGGTTCCGCGCTTCATGGTTTAGACTGGGCCGGCCATTAAGGGAAAAATTTCCGGCGTTAGGTGGGATGGATAACTTGAATGAGGTGTTAGTGGATAAAGCATTATGTGTAACTGCGCGAAATTAAGGAGAATGGGTATAATACGACTCAAGAAGTTGTTTTAATGCAAAAAGTTGAAAATTTCTCAAAAATTGGGAAATTATTTTACTTTAACATTAGATGGGATTGATGTCTAAAATAAGGTCCCACAATGACCAAAATTTTGCATAAAGTGAAAAAAATAGTAACTGTCCAAATTTGGGAGCAAGCATGTTCGCAATTTGTATTCTACAATCTCAACAGCTATATTACACATGACCGTCTAGTCGTAAAAAATAATCCGATAAATAGCCACTTGATGACCGTTGTATGAAAATTGTGGGTACAGAAAACTAATCCACCCGCAATGCGAATAAATCACGTATTACACTTACTACGAATGACCGGAGTAAACACGAGGAGCAACAATTACGCAACAAACGGCCTTAATTGGACTCAAGTGCATGAAGCGATTACGAACTACAAACCCCCCAACTAAGAGTGCATTCGAGCTGTTGTTGACAAACAACGCAAAAAACAGCGAGTAAAAAGGCGGGGGAAAACAATTGTTCGGAATATTTGATGGGGGTTCTCTACTCTAATGTGGTTCGAGCTGCACGGAGTGGACATGTCCTGGAACGGTTTTTGTTTTTTTTTCTTGCTTTCCCCTCCTCCTCCTCGAAAATTGGCCTCTAAACAACAAGCAGCGGAAAAAAAATTTCGGCGGGACATTTCGGAACGAGCCGGCGGAAAAACGAATTATAGCCGGAGGGCGAGAAGGGGCGAAGGAACGTGAAACGCGAAGACGTCATCTCAGGATTAGTGACCAATATGTTGAGCCGCGTAATCGTGTAAACAAGTCGCCGTATGAGGAAAGAACGCAAAATTCGACTATATACGCGACCGTTGGGGGTTGAGATGGCGGAAAATCTCGAAAAAGCCCTTAGGCAGCTCCATGCTGGAGGCGAAATTGGGCCAACACTGCGTCCCACCGAATCGCCCCGAGGGCCCAGCCGAAAAAATACATTCGCGAAAAAAGTGTGGTGAAGGGAGGATGTTTTTCGGGGGGCCCGAAAAGAGTGGTGGAAGAAACACACCGGGGGGAGAAGCCGCGACGCCCTCAGGGCCCGGCGGCGAGTGTGGGGCTGGGCTTGGTGTTGGCTGGCAGTCACACCCCGTTTCCCTTCGCCCGCTTCTTCCCGAGTAAAAAGCGGCCCAAAGGTGTTTTCTCTCTTCGCCGCTTACCCCCCAAAAACATTTTTTTCCAGCGCCACCAACCAGCAACCGCCCCAACCCCACCGCCGCAGCGCTCTTTTCCATTTTCAGCCGGCGTATTTTGCACTGGGCCGCCGCTAATGGCGACCGGCCTCCACCGGCGGCTTACGATAAGTCCTCGGCACCGGCTAATTCCTGGTAGGGATTGTGCGAGGAATACGAAGGTAGTTGTACGTTTTACATTGAGAGGTGGCCGGAAGGTTTCCATAGATTTTGCAAACTTGCTTTGCATTATGCAAATTTTGATTAGCGTGAAAGCTGGAGAAGGTGTTGGGTTCACATCATTATCTCCGAAACAATTATAATCCGCTTATATGGTAGGAGAAGTTTCCGATTTTGCGAACGGAAGATATTAAAAGTGCGGAAAATTGAAATCCTCAAATTATCAAAATTTCACCAAAATTTTGAACACCGAAAAAATTCAAAATTCAGTGGCTAAAATAATAAGCAAGCTGCTGGCTTATTAAATGTGAAGAAACAAACAATTTCTCCAAGAATCCTGCATTTCCGCTGATATTCTCCTTCATAACCAACACAACAGCTCCTTTTCTAATCCCCATAATCACCGAAAATCCTTTACTATCCCCATTACTCGGTAAAAAATTTGCAACTTCCCATTTTCCTACTACATTCAAATATCTACAGTGTAACAAAAAATGCTCGAACGCTACAAAATAATGGAATTGACGTATGATGTCATGAAAAAAGCAAAGGTAATTTATGTTTACGTGAAACATTGGAGACTTGTAAAAGTGAGTCAGCCGGGTGGTCGATAGCTCGTTTGCCCCGCCCATGTCGACCTGCCAACCGTATAAGCCCGAAAACAACAAATAATTTCCCGCCATCGGCCCCTACAAAATAATTCAACTCCGGGCCGAAAAATTCGGGGGTCGGCTATGCGGCGCTGGTCGGGCATGATAATAACTGATAATGATTTCTCGCGGTGCCTTTGGGTCCTCTCTGCTCCTCTCGCCCACCGGAATCGAAAATACAAAAGGAAGCGGGGCCCGAGGAGGAGGAATCGCCTCGAAGGCAAGAAGGAATCAAATTTCATGCAAATGACATAATCTGCCGCGATTATCGTCGTATCCGGTGGGGGCCTTCGCGAAATCCGAGCACAAGGGATCCGAGGTCCGGGTGCGTGTTTGGAGACGTCAACGACGGAAAAAAGGGGGCTGGATTGGAGGGAAAATAATCCGCCGAGCCATTCGCCGGGACTGTTTTATAGTTTCCTTCGCGTCGGTAAGTGCTCGTAAACTTGCCGCTGTTTTCATTCGCCCCCCGATTCCTCACGCCCGCGGGCGTCTTCGCGCCCCTCGGACATTGTTCGGTAATCGGCGTACAGACGTCGGGCACGCAGTAATTACGTTTCTGGCCCCACTTGTCCTCCGATTTCCACCTGTGCGCGGGTGCGGCCGCTTTAATTCGGCCGCCGATGCCCTACACAATCAGCCAGCGCGGTTGCCATGACTTGAGGGCTGTTTGTAGTCCTCAATTATAGTCGGCAATATTTTGAGGGAATCTGGTTGGTGTCCTACATTCGCTTATATTATGCATGACACCTGATAGGCCTAGAATTTCTTTTGGGTCGTAAAAATTACAAAATCTCGGATATAGAATCCGCGATTCCTTCCGTCGTTGGCGGGGCAGATCTAGGTAGACAGCACCCGAAAACATCACAATTCTTATCCCTCCGACAGTGCCCTTACAGCGCCCACTGTTCTCCCCTTTTTTCCAGTTTTAATTACTCGTGCCGTGCCCCAAAAACCTTGACACTTATGCTCACCATAGTAACCGCGCATGTCATGCAAACCGGCGAGAGTCTCGCACCAAATTAATTTACCTGTTCCAGCCGTCGCCGACGTCGGAGGCTGCGCCGGTGGGCCGGGTGTCGCGGCCGGCTGCGACTGTGCTGGTGTCGGAGTCGCGGCGGATCGAATGGAATTCGGAGTTGGTGGACCGTGCGGTGCGGCCGGTGTGCCCGGCTGACCCACTGAACCAGGCCCTCCGGCCGCCGGTTCCTTCTCTTTCTTCTTCTTCTTCAACTTCTCCGCGTAAGCGATCAGTTCGTTCATGTCGGCGCCGGTCTCGCGGCATTCCAACGCCAACAAATATTTCTGGTAGTGTCGGCGGAGTTGGTAGCCGGCTGCGGAGGACTCGGTCATCGATGGGTTCGCCTCTCGACACAATGCTTTCCAGGCTTTGTCATCGCACGTCTGAATTAAGGTTGGTTTAATTTTTAAAATTGAGCGTGGGTTTCCGCAAAGACAATTGACTAAAAATTCGAAGTAGTTAGACTATATAGAGAAGATTACTTCGTATTTTAGCAATCTAAGTTGGCCAGTTTGCTTAGAAATCCGAGAAATAACGACAGAATTCCAAAAATCTCCCTAAATTTTGCAAAATAAAATAAAAATCTCACTTTTTTGAACCCGCCCGCTTTCCGGACCGCAATATAAAGTCGATGCAGGTCAACGGGACTCTTGGACACTTGTGGTGGAGCGTTCAACGTCTCGTTGTGTTGCTCGTTCAGTAATACTAATTGTTCGAAGAAATCCCGTCTTTGTGGCATAACACTGGGAGGCACGAGTTCCGTGGGTACCCCCACCAACTTCTCGACGGCCTCGCGTTGAGCTGGCTTCAGGAGATGAGCGTTCGCTGATGGCGGATATTGAGATTGGGCTTGGGGAGGGGGAGCGGCCATCATCATGGGGGGTTGGCCTGGAGGGGCTCCCATTGGTCGCTAAAACAAGGGGAATTAGTTGGGAGAGTACTGGAAATTGGGCTAAACAGTGGTTTAGGTGTCAAAATGGGTGTCGAATTTATACTGGGATTTTCTGTGATTTTGAGCTTCGTATTTTAGGAGCGAAAAATTCGAAAAATCAAACTCGATGACTAAACAAAAAACATTTTATAAGATTTTTTCTAGACGTAAACTTCGTATTTCAGCGTTAAAAACATCAAATTTACAGGGTATAAAGCCTTCTAGCATTTTTCATTTAAGCGTAGTTGTTCTAGTAAAACGCAAAATTCAGCAAAACATTGCTCTTACCTGCATATTCATAGGATAATGTGGAGATGCGTGCTGAGGTTGGGATTGTTGCGGATTCTGCTTGTCCGCCTCGTTGTCGGCGCCTGAGGTCTGCGGGTGTTGCGGGAAGTCGGGTTTGGGTGGGTATTGATGGTGTGGAGGCACTTGCATGTAGTAGGGATGACCGGGATAGGGACCGGGCGGCGGCGGTTGGCCCTCCGGGCCCGGATACATGTAGCGGGCTTGGGGTGGGCCCCAGTAGGGCTGTGGGGGGACGGGATAGCCGGGCGGGAGATGGGCGTACGGGTGTTGAGGAGGCATGGGCGGTTGGCCCATCTCTTGGCCATCCGGCTTCTGATGAGGCCACTGCATCGGGTGGGGCGGTGGAGCATTCGGCGACCGCAGCAGTGCCTGTTGCTGTTGTTGTTGCGCCTTCTGGCCGGGCGAGAGCAGATTCTGATGCGGCGGGTTCACAGAGGCGGGATTCGGGATTTGCAACGTGGGCTGTTGGTCCTGAGGCCTCTGAAATTGGGTTTTATTAGCTTAGAGGTTGGCATCCTACTGGAATTTTCAGATCTCTTAAAAGATTCAGACAGAACAGAAGTTAAAATGTCATACATGACATAACAATT